ACAGGCAAATGACTCCACTCCACCTGATGTTAAGTGGAAAGTGGTACGGTTGGGCAACTACAGTTTGTGAAGATATAAGTGATCGTGTGCTTATATATTCGCTACGAGAGTCGAATACGTCTTATACTTATTTGGCTAATACGCTAATACAATGTTCAGTTTGAGAATTGGAACGTGAACTATATGTCACTTAAGTACATGGAACAGAAAGTTCAACTTCAAGTGAAATATTTAATTTTCTGCATGCTTCTTTACACCCTAAACACAATAGTAATTTTATTTATTACAATGGGGTGTATAAGACATAAATGTAGTTTTTACTACAGTGTAAAGGACAGTAACTTCTAAAATACAGGTTTGTCCGCAATTGTAAATTGATTATAGCTATAGAATAAAGTATTGTTAGTTTTTGTCACAAACGTTAAAGGTTAAGTCAATTTTTTTCTGAAAAGGAAAACGTTTTGTGCTATTCTTCAACAGGTGCGTTTTGTCCTTTACGCTACTTGAGTCTAATTCCCGCCTTGGTAGGCGGAAGGCCGAGGAAGGATAATGAAATGAGCGCTCATAGTTGACAGTGTCAACTTGGCACACGTGTCATGCAAACGAAGCACATCTACAATTTATTGTTCAGTGGTTCGCACTGTGGACGCTTTTAAGACCAATTTGGGAAAAATAACTTTTTTGTAAGTGATCAGCGTACCTACTCATACCAGACGCGGTGTCATTCAAGAGACAAAGATTTGTTGGTCACTGCCAAATTTTCTACATTGTTTCTGGTCGTTCTGGATTCCATTGCTCTGGTACGACGTACTCATAGTACGTCGTACCAGTCGTACCGTTGATAAGACGTACTCATAGTACGGAATTTCACACAGGCAACAAGGCTACAAATTCCTTAGTTCAAGACCAGGTAAATAGCGTAATTGTTTGCCACGTTATTATTATTATAATCGAGTCATGGTGTTGAACTGACGTTATTGTAACTTATACTCTTTATAGAGTAACTTTATGAAAGGCTTGTAACAACATAGGTGTTAATAACAAAGTCTCAAAGATAACAAAGGTTCAATGGAAGATCATATGACATTACAGGTCTGGAGCCTCATTAATGGACGTGTAAATCACACTACTCACAAAGCCGCTAATGTATCATAGAATAAGAGGGTGAGTAGAAATTTGCTTTATATTTTTTCATTGCATAAATTCAACACTCATGTTGAAGGCAGATGGGTCAATGGGTTGATTTTTTCATTAATACATGGCCAAAGCTTCGTCACTCGGAGAGGTTACGCGATAAGTGCCTACCGCTGAGTGTATCGCCGACAGTACAAGCGCTCAGAGGTCTGAGTGTAAATTTGCATCAAACTTAACTACCGCGTTTGCGTTAAGATAGTTATTTAGATCTTAATTATATGGTTATTATTACACACATTACCCGAGTTAAATCTTTCATTTACATTACAATTCTTGTATAACCCCAGCATTCGGTTCCGCACGACTGCACACGGCGGGCAATCACCTCTTTCAGCGCGTGCTTTCCTCGTAGTGAGCGCCGGGTGTCATTCGTCAGATTTAGTATAATTTAGGTTATTATAGCTTAGGTATTTTCGATTTTGTATGAGAGTGATGTATCTGTTACAATGTAACTATTAAATAATCTGTGTCACGGCTAACAATAAAATCGTAAAGACGCAGAGTCTACACTTTTGATAGTTTCAAAGTAAACGTACTGCAATGGAACGTTATCAGTGATTACCACCACACTAAACTATACAATTCACATACAAATGCCGTGGTAGTCCAATACGCGCGTTTGCGCTCTGCATCCAATCGCATTCTTCGTTCCGAATTAGAAAATATACAAATCTGTAAAACTCGGGCGCACTTCGGATGACCCTTGTTTAAAATGATCCCTATGACATTTCGGACCATCATTTCCCGGATTCGGTACTGGGAGTCTACTCTCGATGTCCGTCCGACATCCGTCCGGAACAATTACTGCCAAATAATGAATACTTGACCAAATGAAAAGACGCGTGATGCGAATGAAGCTTCATACTGGATACTTGTCTTTTAATTTTGTCGAATATTACTTATTTGACAGTAATTGTTTCGGACGGAGATCGAGAGTAGACCCCCTGAAACGAATCGGACGTAATGCGCATCTACTGATTCTAACCACCGCCTATCAAGCAGAGGCCTTGGGTTCGAATCCGTGCTCGGACCTCTGAGTTTCTCGGAATTTGTGTGCGAAATCTAATTTGAAATTTACACAAGAATACATCGTGATGTAACCTGTACGTCGAAGAAGGTTCACAATCCTCAGAAAACGGCCAAACGAGCCAGGGTGGCAGATTTGGCCTAAACGATAGTTCCCAGTGGGCGCTGAAGAGTCCTATGGGGGCTGTAGGGGCCTTGGAAGCAGTTGGGGGGCCGTTGACGCTGTTCAGGGATTGCTACCGCATTTGAAAAAGAATTATATACATATATAAACTACACTATGAATATATACATTTTTTTTCCTAGTCATTTTTTGTCTAAGTCACCGCCCGGTGAAACAAAAAGTTTGGGAACCTATGGCCGAAACCCTCGCCCGAGACGAGACCCGCGCCCAGCAGTGGGAGGTATACATGAGTTGTTGATGAAAGTACAAGTTTAGTCAACCTTTTAGACAACCGATTACCATCGTCGTACCTAATGAGATTATCGCCGATCATACGTCTATTGTTAAGTGCAGGCCACACCGCGAACGAAGCTAAGTTAACATAGAGTCTGACTTTTTTTGAAGACGGAGTAAAATTACATTTGTAGGTTTGCCAGTTTTCATAAAATTTTAAATAGTTACGTAGTTGTTGTCGATAATTTTATCGATAGATTGTGAAAAAAGATAAAAATTTATCAAAAATTATTGAATTGTGAATGTTACGACGTTCTAATGATTACTAATTGACTATTTGCCTTCTTTATTCTTATGCACTCATCGAGAAAATTTTTATTCAAATACATTTAAACAAGAATAACGGGATTTGATAATCTAGATTGAATTAAAATAAATAATATGTCTCCTCTTTGTATTTTGCATGAACATAGGTCTAAACACAGTGTATGTATGCAGTGTTGGGCAAAATTTATTTGTTCTGGCAATTAAAGATTGACAATTGATTAATTGTCAATTGCGAAACAGCAATTAACGATTGATCAATTGTTAGTTGCGAGAACCGCAATTAACAATTAATCAATTGTTAATTGCGGTTCTCGCAACTAACAATTGATCAATCGTTAATCGCAAATATCTACAATTAACAATTAATCAATTTTCAATCTTTTCAATGTTTTTGATTAACAATTAACAATTAAAACTGACAATTATGATAAATTTATAATAAAAGGGCATATGTGGGTGAGTTAGGGCGTTGGTTGTGGGGGCCCGTTGGGGGCCTGCTGGGGGCAGGTTAGGGGCCCGGTTAGGGGGCAGGTTGGGGGCCCGGTTGGGGGCCCCAGTTGGGAACCCCGCTTGGGGCCCCGGTTGGGGGCCCCGGTTTGGGGCCCCGGTTGAGGTCTCCGGTTGGGAGCGACGCGACGCGTCGCAATTGATTTAATTGCAATTGATTTCAATTGAATTGATTTTTTAATCTGATTGAATTATTGATTGAAATTTAATTGATTAACGCCCAACACTGTATGTATGTATGTATGAACTTGCAAAAATTGACAATTCAAATAAACTTGTACTCAGTAATTGTCCATCCAATAATGTGTCGAGGATGATTCTAATGAAACAAGGTCGGCTATTTATTCTATAAGCGTGACTAATATTTACCTACTCGATGATCGATATAATATATATACATTAATATGCTAGCAAGCGGGCAGCACTTTTGCGCAATGAGCTATCATTTTACTCAGTCTTCAAAAAAGACAGACTATAGCTTATCTTACGTAGTCGAGGCATCTATTCCTACTTCGGTTCACGCCGCGAACAAAGCAAACCGAGCTAACTAAACTAACCCAACGATCCCGCTAAACTATGTAAAATATGTTGCCCTTCAACCCGGCACGTATCCATAGTGTAGCACGTCACAATTTACTACGTATCTTCTTAGCTTAGTTTTGTAAGCAACTACGTTAGCTCAACTGAGTCAGCTTAGTGGCCTGCGCTTTAATGTCAAAACATTCTTAATTTCTTTACTGTCATCCGATTCCATTACCGTAGGCAGCTATCTGATATTTTTTTGTTTATGAATAAACATAAAAAAACAATGTCTTATTAAGGAACACTTGCGGAATTCATTATTGTTAACAAAACGTATTATTTAGATAGGTGGTCACAGTATTTCCCCGAAAAGCTATGTTTAGTTTATTCCGCAGTCTGATATTGTAACAAATGTAATTTAATCGGGTAATAAGGGCCCTTATTTGTGTATATTTTCGTATTTAACACAACCAAAGAATATACAAACATATCCATTGCCGCCTGTGTTTTTTTCAAAATATGAACTGCGCGTTTGACCTCAATTCCACTTGATGGAAAATGACTGTGACAGAGAGATGATGCCGACTATGGAGCATGTACATCTAAATAATGCCTATTCACTCTCGAATTGACAAAGCCAAAGTTGTAGCGTGCAGAGAATATGTCTGAAAGAAAGAAAGAAAGAAAGAAAGAAAGAAAGAAAGCCATTTATTGCACAATCACAAACACGCATATAAACAAAAAACAAAAATAATAATAAAAACAAAAGGACATTGAGGAACAATAATAATACAAAATAATACAAAATTCATCGTCATGCGTGTCGCGACTAGTGCAAACGGGACTTGCTCAGCTTTAGCCACAACCGGTTTGTTTACCGTGTCGTGGCACTGATTTTCAGCAAGCCCGGGCGAGTGAGTCACTGACAAGTCTGCAGGAAAGGAATTCATGTTTTTTTTTTATACAATACCAAGTGATGTGACCAATAGATCGCGAGGCTGGTGGCATGCGACACGCCTATATATACAGTTGCAGTGCCACTCAGAGCTTTAAATAGCGAAGATCGTAGGGGCACTGCGCCCGTCACCCTGAGACACAAGTGAACAAGTCATATGTGCCAGTAATTCCAGCATCCTTAGGTACCCTTTAAGACGCCAAGCAGTAATGTGAGCATTACTGCTTGGTGGCGGGAAATAAATAAGGGTGCATTATATATAATAAGTGTGTATTTGACTTCCCTCTCACCTGATGGAAAGTGACTGTGATAGAGACATCATGTCGACTATGGAGCATATACACCTAAATAATGCCTATTCACTCTCGAATTGAAAAGGTCTAAGTTAACCCCTCGCTGTATCAATGTTTTTACATGGCTTTTAATGTACTTCTTCATATCTATTTTTTTCATGACACTAATTGACGGGACGAACAAGTCGTGCGCCAACTGGTAAGCGACACGCCAACTCATAGCAATTCCAGTGCCACTCAGATCTTTAAACCGCAAAGATCTGAGGGGTACTGCCACTGCGCCCGTCAATCTGAACCATAAATTAACAAGTCTCAGTGCCTATAATTTAGAATAGAATAGAAATCATTTATTACTACGCCACAACACAAAAATACACAGTAATAAAGGTAAAAAAAGACGAAGCTAAATTAAAAAAAAATTAAAATAAAATAACAAAAAAAAATTTAAATAAAAATAAAATCATACACAACAACAAAGCAAACATTAAATATTTAACACAATTAGAGTGAATGTCATGTGTGCAGCTGTGGCGTATGTAAAAGAATGCCACTCAGCTATTGTCACCGCCCCGAGAAAAGGCTGTGACGTTGATTTTCATGTGTGTGTCGCGAATATACAAGTGAACTTAAATAAATTACATTAAATATTTTTGTAATGTAGTATGTTGTGTTCTCTTATATGTATGGAATAGTTAAATAACAAATTTGATACGTATATACAGTGATAAATGTAATTTCACCAGCACCCTTCAAAACCGGAACGTAGTAATGGTCACATTACCTACCGATTGGCGGTAGGTATAAGTAAGGTGGCAGTATATCCCAGGACTAATTCTTTCACGACGAGCTCTACTAAATATAAATGTGGAAACGTACGCTTCGTGCGAATCTTTGGAATACCCGCACCCGTACTCTGGGGCGAAGTACTCTTAAGTCTATACAACCTCGAATTGCTTTGGTTGATTCCGCAAAACAGTGAAAGTGTTCAGTCAATCAAAAAAATATATAGTAAAATTGGAAAAAATCAAAGTCAAACATTGACTTACAATTATATGGACGTCGGGTCCGCGCTAAAAAGTGTCCGAACTTATAGGGCATTAAAATCGTATACAGAGCGTCATTCACGATCTAGTCTTCGTTTGTTCGACTGACAGCGAAGCAAGCAAAATTAGACAGTACTGCGATGACATTACAATTTAAATTCAACGTTTTAGCTTTTTCATATTCCTTGACATGTCACTACGTTTAAATAGGTTGACTTGGGACATCTTTTTCGTGGTTTTTGTATTAGACCCGTCGTCCACTTATTTGTAAGTCAATGAAGTCAAAGGATCATTTATTTCATAGGTAAAATAAATTTACACTTGAAAACGTCACATTCAAGCTACGTTTAAGCTAATAGGCAATGCTCGTTCACTACTCTGACCTCCCTGAGAAGAGCGAGCAAGAAACTCTAGGGATTGCTCTTTTCAAATAAACTTAAATGCTATGGAATACACTTTGAATCAAATTTGTGTGGAATCTGGAGCCATATCCTCTTTTCATACATCTTTATCTAACACGTAGTCTTCAATTTTGTAATATGATTTTTAAACTTAGAAAATGATAATCTTATTATATGCTCCGGAATCTTATTGTAAAAACGTCTACAGTTCCCCATAAAAGAGTAGTTTACCTCGATTAAACAAAAATCGTGGTACCATGAGTTTGGACTTAGCCCTGTGTTCAATATTATGGATATCTTCTTTCTTATTGAAATTATGAACATTTTTACGGGCAAATAAAATATTTGAGTAAATGTACTGTGATGCCACAGTCATGATACTTCTCTCTCTTCTTAAAATTTTGCTCTGAGAGAAACCCGAGAGCCTAAACAGTACAAATAACGAATCGCTCGTTTTTGCAATACAAATATGGTTTGAATGTCTGCCGCTTTACCCCACACGAGAATCCCGTAGAACATTATACTATGGAAGTACTTGGTATTTGGTGCAACGGGCTGGTATCCGCAACTCGACGACAAGTCGCCTACTATGGAAGTAACTAAAGTAAACTAGTCTGGCAGTGCTAACATCGGTAGGCTCACGTATTCTGCAAACAGCGTATGCAGCGGAGCTTAATCTGCTGGCCAAAGAAAATATATGTGGAAACCATTGAAGTTTACTATCTGCGATCACTCCCAAGAAGACTGCTTTATTAACAAGGTCTAACTTTTCTCCGTTTATTTCTATGCTTGGACTAGTCGATTTTACGTTAGGTAATTCAAATTTAACACATTTTGTCTTCTTGGCATTAAGCAATAAATTGTTAGCATTAAACCAATAAACTACCTTAGAGAGGGTATTATTAATATGGTCATAGTTAATGTCATGTCTGTCTGTATTAAAAATCAAGGACGTGTCATCAGCAAACAACACTATTTCGCACTGGTCAAAGAATGGCAGATCGTTAACATAAATAAGAAACAAGAAAGGTCCAAGTATTGAGCCTTGCGGAACACCCATTTTTACCGGAGAACCCAAAGAAATCAGTCCATTTATGTCTACTAAGCCTATTCCACTAGTCCCCATCAGCTTTCCTCACTGGTGAGGACAAGTGGATTTTTTGTTCTACTCTTCCTCACCACATAGTCACTGGTCGGGTTAAGTGGAATTTCATTTGTACTTATCCCTACTCAACCGTGTCTATTAATAAGTACAGTCGAGAATAAAACTATATCGATTGTTAAAAATTTTCACGACAGAAAAAAAAACACAAACTTACAGCGAAATTTTACAAGAAAACCGCTGTATTAAATAAGTTCTTTACATATGCCAAGGATTTGTTTATTGTCAACTGAGCTAAATAGAACACGTATAGTATACGACATATATTTTTCAAATAGTTTAATTTCGTTTTAAAAAAATAAATCGTGTAATAAAGTGAGTGTCCCTCCTGCTAGGCCCATGCAAAATGAACCGTATATGTGCGGGAAAAAATGTAATTCTAACTGAGGTAGTATGGAGTTTTAATAGACAAGATGCATAAAAATATTGAAGCGTTTATGAGGCGTAAGATATGTGTCAGGGCCGTAGCAAGTCTGCCGTTCCTGCCTACCTCGATGAAAAAAAAGTGTGAAATATATGATATAATACTAAAGCACAGAGCCGAGACAATGCAGAAAAGTAAGTTTTTCTACATCGAACAAGTCGTGCACACTATGAAAACAGGTGTACCAGCCCTTCGAGCACGGAGGTCGTCTAATGATTTTTTTTATAATATCAAATGACGGGACAAACAAGGATGCGCCTGATGATACGCTGTCCATAACAGTTGCAGTGTCATGTCACTCAGAGCTTTAAACCGCAAATGTCTGAGGGGCACTACCACTGCGCCCGACACCCTGAGACATAAATTGACAGCTCCTATTTGCGTGTAATTTTACCAAAATGTAATATGTTAAAAAAATAATTAAAAACTCACCTTTTTCTCCAATCCGAGCAAAATAGCGAATCCAAGGATGAAAATGATCGTTGTTGACTTGGTCATGGTGTACAGCGAGATTGTGACCAGCTCCAAGGCCCAGTTGGAGAAGCCCACGTCGATGCCACTGGCCAGGCCAGTCGGGCCCACGGATCTCAGGCAGACCCACCAGGAGAGCATAAGTTGTGGGACTCCGGTGACAAGCTCCAGCACCAGTCGGACTATGCAGGACAGCACCCATTTGATCACCAAATGGTACATTACCACTGTTAATGGGTACCGGAAATCCTGCAAAAAAACATATCTATTTTTTTATGATACCACGCCAATCCATAGCAATTCCAGTGCCACACAGAACTTAAAAACCGCAAGGGCACTGCCACTGCGCCTCTCACCCTGAAGCATAAGTTGACAAGTCTCAGTGGCTATAACTTCACCAGCACCCTTACCCTTCAAAACCGAAACGCAGTAATGTTCACATTACCACGCAGGAATAGGTAAGGTGGCAGTAATACCCTAGACGAAGTCTTGCACAAGAAGAAGAGCTCTACTTATACCATATTATTGAATATCACGATATTGTACTATCATAACTTTATGTTGTTATTGATAAAAAAAAAAATTAAATGCAAAGAAAATTATTGTCTTCGATCCGACTGTACTGTGTCTGACCAGTGTCTGTTGCCATACCGGCGCCATTGCTTAGCTCAGTTGGTTAAAAGCGGTGGCCCTGGCATGGCAATAGACATGTCCAGTCAGATTGAAGGATATTTTATTCCTTTGGATCGATCTTTATATCAATAATAATAATAATTCAACGCGGTCCTGCTCGATACGGCACGTATTGTTCCACGGTTCTAGAACCTGAGTCCCTGACCCCGGCCGACTGTGTCATTGCCGGGGAATACCGCTTCTCCCATTTAAAAATTCAAAATTATCTTTTAGGTCTGAGGGTGCGAGAGTCCAAAATAGACATAATAAATCATATTATTAGGCATAAATCCCGATACATTACACATTCATATAATACTCATTAAATATGAACAAAAAAATAGTATAGAATAGCATCATTTATTTCAAATCATCAATGTCACAATATTTCAATTCAAAATACAATGTCAAGGGATAATTATGATCGTCAAACAATAATAATGAATATAAAATAAAGTAGTATATTAACTACTGCCTGTTGAAATACAACAAAGTCATGTTTAACAAAATTACAACTGTTTCAAAAGAAAGCCATCGACATTAGAATTCATTATCCAATAAAAGGAGTTTTAGTCGAGCATACAACATTTCGTCATTTATAACACTTTTCAGGTCTGTGGGTAGATGTTCGTAGAATCGGGGACATATTACCCGCAGATTTCTCGTTGCGAGAAAGGTACAGTAAACAACGGATTTTAAAATAATTTAAAATTTTACACAAATTTATTCTTTGTCTTATTTAGTCTTTCTGAAAAGGACCATTGACTGTTTTTGGTTTCAGGGGTGTCCTCCCATACTTCATCTGAAATCCGTAACAATTTAATGTCAAATAAGTAATAACTCGACCAAACTATAAAAGACGCGTGCTGCGGTGATGCAAATGAAGGTTCATAAGTGTCATTGTTTCTTGATTTGGTCGAGTATTACTTATTTGACAGTAGGGCCATTCCAGCGAAAATGACACCGTGGTTCAAAAAAATAAATTACACAATTTGGTTTTAATTGTATGACTAGAATACGCCCAATAAATTAAACCATTAGAAATAAATGAGATTTTTCGGATATTGTACAATTATTGTATTTTTTGTCTTCATTAACGCAGCCATAGTGTTGTCGTCTATAGTGAAGCATTTTTTCCTATAATGTTAGCAACAATTTTCGCGGTTATTTGTGCGTCTTTCTAAAAAGTTATTACTGTCGAAGAAAATACAATTTACGAATTTTAAAACAGTGATAAGTGATTGCATGGAAGTATCTATGGTGAGGAGTTATTAAAGTTTCAACAAGTACTAATTTCAAGTCCCACCCGTCACAATGAACCATAATTTTTATTTTAACCAATAAATATGCAATCTATTGGCATTTGGTTTTGTTAAAGTAACAATTATGCTAAGGGTCATTATTTTGGCTTGGTTGGGCATTGCGCACGTAAATAGGAATGTAAATATTAAGATTTGAAAGTGTGTCCCACCCGTCACAGCGATGGGTGTGTCACACACTTCTAAACGTTTTTACTTTGAATAAATGTTTGTATTTTCATGGATTCGCGTTTTTACGATGTTTACTAGGTATAACAGTTACTTTAATTTCAGAGTTTAACATTTGATGTGTTAAATTGTGACGATTGGTACGACATTTTGTGACTGGTGGGTCAAGTTACATTTGAATAAATAGAATTTAAAAAAATACACTGTTTATATGTAGATTCATCATTTGTAAGCAAACTTTTTATAATTCTTCTCATAATTACGACATTTTAACACATAAAAAAAGACAATTAAAAAGTGACAACATTTTTCCTGATGATTTTTAGTATCAGGAAATTCATGAAAAGTCTGCCTCCACTAGTTTTAACTATATATTCGAGCAAAGCTTCTAAAATTTGATATATTTTGATATGATACATTATCTTCAAGGATGCGGCAGGATTTTTTAAATTTATTAACGCATTTCAAATCAAAGTCACGCATGTAACTTTGATTTCATGTCGTCAAGGACAGTGTTTCAAGAAAAATAATAGGATTACTTTATCAGTACTTTAATTCTGTTTTGTTTTATGTTAAAATGTCTTAATAAGACAAAAAATATAAAATATTTGCTTGCGACTAACGATGGCTCTCATATTAAACAGTGTAATTTTATTAATTCTGTGTATTCAATTGTAACTCGTCCCACCCGTCACAAAATCATGTGCCACCCGTCACAACTTAACATATTAATTTCCTTAAATGTTATCAAAGTTATTAATTAAGTGTATATATAAAAAAGAACTTTAACATTCAAGTTCTCTCATATGAAAAACTTCCTCAACAAAATATTAATAGTTTGTCTTGATCTTGGCAATGAAGCCATCAACTCAAACAGGCGGGACCCGACAGACTTAGACAATTAAAAGTTTTGAGTATAATTAACGTCTTAAATTTATGTAAATAAATAGTCGCAGTTGAATTGCGTATACATGGCTTCATGATATTTTCATTTTAAGTCTAATTAACCAATAGTTAGGGTGAAATTACTTAAGGTTCAAGAAAGAAGGAGTCAAAATGTCCCACCCGTCACATTGGAATGGCCCAGCAATTGTTTCGGCAGATGTGATGGACTGAAAACGGAAGTAAATCCTTAGGGCAAACATGCCAGATGCGCTGCAGAGCCATAACATTATAACAATACTTCTTCATATTTAAAAGCCAATTATTTGTCGATGAAGTAACTGCCAACTTATAAAAGTGGGATCTGAATTTGACAGCTATTTTATTTATATTATATTTTTATATTATTTTTTTTTTTTGGGATCTATCCCACTGAGGATAATTCTGCCAGTGTCCAGTTTGAAAGATACACAGTTTATATCAAGATTGCCAGGAACGCACTCAAGCGATGATGATCGGTTGTATCATCCTATGGACAAAGATTTGACAGCCAGACACACATTAAGTGTACTATGTATGTGACGTTCTTTTTAGAAGTCAATTATCTCCCTATAATTAAATTGTGTCATTCACTTTTACAATGAATATTTAGCAGTTTTAATTCCATGAATAAACAAGTAACTAATTGTATGGGGTTTAAGTGCAATTACAGAGTATCTTCACTTTTATTAATGAGAAATAAGATAATTTTTTTTTTAAATATGTAATTACACCACTTTTACAATGAATGACACAATTTTGTAGAGTGGTGGCACCAGTGACCGACAAGCACCATGTTTGACATATTTTTTAAATAGGAAATGAAACTATTTTTCCGGACTTAAATTATGTACATAAACAAACCAGGTTTGTTCGAAAAACAAATATGCGCGATTTAAATCCGGAATAATTGTTTTATTTCATATGTGCAACAATTGCGAAAACCTAAGAACTCAATGTATTTTTTAAATTCTAGTGATGTGTATATCTTTGAGATTTAAAAGTCTGAGTGACTCTGGAACTGCTAATTTGCAGTTTTACTCAAACCACATTTGAACACATAGACATTTGAACTTAACAATGTAACCTTGGTTTCATTAAGAAAAAGTGTATTTATGCACATGTATTTTTTTTCTAGTCTTAGGGTCGTATTCTAGAACTCTACTCAATGCTCAAATCAGGATTTGAGTATGGTTTAAAGCACTCGAAATCATAGTCAAGTCCCTGCCATTAGCGTCGTATTTGCAGTGCTTGTGTTTCCAGTGCAATCCTGACTTGAGCATTGAGTAGAGTTCTAGAATACGACCCTTAGACAATCACATCAGTTGTATTGGGTAAACAATGTAACAAAAAATAAAATCAAATATGAAAATCAGAAATGGCTTCTGCCTCAAATACGTATTTATAATGAGTTCCTTGGTTTTCATGATTACTGTACAAATGCAATCAAACTAATTTTTCAGATTTAAAATTGAAAATATTTGTTTTTTTCCAAACAAACGGCGTCACGGCTGATTGTTACAGTTACTTTGTGTTTGTAGTGTTACCAACCAGTAATATCTAATATTAATGCAAACCACCCTGTTCTAAACTACAGTTACGAGTTACAAGCATATTTATGTTACGAATGTGTTACTAATTGGTGATTTTAATTAGCCATGCGTTTGTATGAAACACCTGCCATTTTATGTACATATTTCAGCGGTTGTGTCTTGTACACTCGCTATTTATTTATTTATTTATGGACAAATATACAATATCGGGCTATACAAAGTTTACCTCCATTAAGGGTTTTTAATCCAGACTGAATGTTAGTTGTCCATAAATTTTGCATAGTAATATATAGGATTTAAACTCTGGTAAGTCAAAAGGAAGTCGTCATTACTGTATGGGCATGCACCTCTGATCTGAGTTTTTCAGAAATTATGTGCTAAATTTAACTTGTAATTTAACATGACCGTTTTGGTGAAGAAAAACATTGTGATGAAAACTGCACGTCGAAGAAGGATCATTAACTGCCTCGGTGGCCAAACAGTTACCATGCTGAACTGCCATGCAGATGTCCCAGGGTTGATTCCAGCCCAGGATAAATATTTGTATGGCCTACATGGATGTGAGTATGTCCATGGCACCCGCAACACAGGGTTTCCCTAGTGCGGGGCTATGTTGAGTGTGTGTGCGTTCACGACACACGGATTACGCGTGAAGTGCCCAACGCGCATTGGGTCAGCATGGCGAACTATGACCTAAACCTTGAGAGGAGACACGTGCTCAGCAGTGAGATAAATAAATGAGGTTATCATAGTAGTATTAAACGGGGTTAATGATGATGAAGGTAAAGTAGTACAAGTAATTAAATAAGACACGTAAGCAATAGCAGTTAAGTGCGTTTAAACAAACATTACTTTCAACACCTGTTGAAGTGACACAATAAATTAATTCAACAATAATTTTATGTATAGTCATATTATTAATAGGACTACATCGTGTCACAGGTATCCGTAAGAAAACATGTCATATTCGCACCACGTTACAATAAAATTGTAACCGAAACATAAACGTGTTGACAATAAAAAGGATTAAAACATGAGTCAAATAAACTGATAAGGAAGGTTTACCTTTAGCAGCCATCTCTGATAGAAAGTGAGTCCAATCGACAGTGAGAAGTACAAAAGAATTAAGCCCAAGGACAGGAGACTCCTCTGGACGCAGCTTTGAGAACCTTTACTCCTAGGCTCCTTTGTAAACACGTCTTCTTCAGTGTCAGGTTTTTCCGCCAGCTGTTCATACTTCACGCTCGGCATTGTCACCTCCGAAATTACAAAACACGCTATCAAATACACCTAACCGCATAGCACCACCACCTACACTTTTAAAGAAGTTCTAGATAGTATGTAAAAATTATTTCATTTGAAAATTTATTACAATATTTTAAGTTTAATACTTTGTTTTTTTTTTTTTTTTTTTTTTAATTTATTAAGGCTTTGGCAAAGCCATCAGCCTAAACATGAATTATTATAATTATTACAGAGTTTTAAATGTCATAAAAAAAAACTAACTACTACAGTATGAAAGTTAAAAAAATAAATTAAATATAGACAACTTACACTATTTTAAAGGTGCTATTTACAAATTCAAATATTACGTTATATAAACTTGTGTGCTTTAAAAACTCCTGTACAGTACTGGGAATTGTTTTATATTGGAGAAGGTCTTGAGTTAAAGAAATAAGTAACAGACGTTGTAAAGAAAATTGTGGGCAGTCAAAAAACAAATGATTAAGGTCACAGTAATTATGGGAACAATATGTACATAACGAGTTACTATTTAACTTTAACCTAAATAAATGTGCAGGGATCTTACAATGACCTATGCGAAGTCTGCTTAGAGTCGTTATAAAATCTCTACCTATATATGTGGGATATCTTTCAAACCAAGCCTTGGTTGAAGGCACCGGGACTATCTCGGCAAGCCACTTTCCTTTAACTTCTCTTGTAAAATTTAGAGTGAGACACCATCTTTTGATCATATTTTCCTTAAGGCATAAAACCAAGTCTGAATGAGGAACTTTAAAATCACAGTAGTCTACATTTTCTGTCGATTTTGCTAGGGTGTCGACTAGTTCATTTCCAAATATACCGGAGTGTCCCGGAACCCAACAGAACTCTATAGTGAAACCTTTATTGCACATTTCGTTAACTAGATTTCTTAAGTAGTAAATTAAGTAATTAACACGGCTATCAATGATCTTATTTTTCAATAACAACAGTGCACTCAAAGAATCGGACAAAATCAAATATTTAGAAATACTAAAGTTAGAATTTAAAATATAGTTTATAGCATAAATCATTGCCAAAACCTCAGCAGAAAAAATAGAAAATAAATTATTACAAATAAAAACTCTTCCGCATTTTAAATAAGAATTATAAAAAGCAAAACTTGTCCTATCCTTAGTTTTAGAACCATCTGTATACACTTTAATGTAATCCTTCTTAGCATCTATAAACTCATAAAATTCAAATTTGTTCCTAAACTTTGATGTATTTACTAATATATCCATAATTAAACAGTGAAAGTCGAAGTTAAAACAAGGCAATTTTGGAGACCAATAAATTGCATTCTGAAATTCAAAATTTAGATATGCAATAGATTGGCTCAGCGTCGTAGTAGCAGTTAAAGGAGCTGTATTAAAGTCAGGAATATCATAGTCTTCTAAAAAACTACAAATTACAGGATTGTCGCAGCTAACTAATCTAAGACAAAACTTCTCAGTTAAAAAGCTCCTCCTGACAATAAGAGGAACTACACCTGTTTCTACCTCAAGGGAATTAATAGGGGAAGACATCATAGCTCCTGAAATTATTCGCAAAGCTCTATTTTGAATTATTTCTAGCTTTCTGAGTAAATGGTTAGCAGCATCGGCAAAAAACATACATCCATAGTCAAAGTGGCTGCGAATGGCAGCAATATACAAGACTTTTAAAATCTTGGGATCAGCTCCCCATTTCAACCCCACTAGAGATTTAAGGATATTTAAGCCTAACTCAGTCTTTTTGCAGATATGTAGAATATGTGGTTCCCAAGTTAATTGAGGATCCAATATAATACCCAAATACCTTTCTTTAGATTGGACTGGAAGCAAACAGTCATTGTAATAAATTTTGGGCGTAAATGAGCATTTTGCCGCAAAAAGCATGACTGAACTTTTACTTGTATTAACTTCTAACATTAATTGGGTCGACAATAGATTATGTAATGTAAAAAGGCAATTGTTCATATTTTTTTGTCCAACGTATATATTGTCGCATTCGAGATAAATTACTAAGTCATCTGCATAAAATGAATATCTCACAGACATTGGAATTTGATTCATGAGATTAACAAGGCTCAATATAAAAATCAAAGGTGATAGAACGGAACCCTGAGGAGTACCTTTATTTGTGGTTCTACAGCCAAAAAGATTATTTTTAATTTTTAAAGAAATATTTCTACCATTTAAGAATGAAAATATCCACAATAGAATGGGGCCTGGAATGCCCAGATAAGAGAGACTCTTGATAAGATATGCATGATTTATATTGTCAAATGCGCCTTTGATGTCCAAAAAAACAGCAAGAGTGTATTTGTTACGCCTCATATTCCTTTTTATATCACCTATTAAACACCCCAAGTTATACATGGTGGATTTCCCTTTGCGGAAACCAAATTGGAACTCCGGAATCAAACTGTTGCTTTCAATATACCATTCTAACCTATTTTTGATCATAGTTTCAAAACATTTAGAAAAACACGATGTCAACGAGATGGGTCTATATGCATCTAAGCTATGAATATCCTTGTACGGTTTAAGAATTGGAACAACATGTTGATCTTTCCAAACAGGGGGAATAGAATTATTAAGCCATAATTGATTAAAAATTTTAAGAAGAATGATTTTAGCTTGGGATGGTAATTTTTTTATCACTAAATAAGGAATGAAATCGGGACCCGGGGAAGTATTTTTTTTATACATGAGAGCAGCATCAAATTCATGCATTTGAAAATTAGAGGTGAGCCATTGTGCTGAGTCAGCACCAGGAGATAAGAAATAAATTTGTAATTCACGCATATCAATGGCGATGCTGTCGCGAGAAGCAATTTTGTTGAGAAAGTTTAAAGCATTAACTGGATCTTCCAAAAAAAGTGTATTAGTATTAGCGGTTGAATTTAGTTTAGAGAATTTGAATCGCCTAATATAGTCCCAAATAACTTTAGTGGGAGTCATTCGATTAAAAGAGGAGCATAAGTTAGTCCATGCTAATATTTTTTGTTCTGTTAGGATTTTTTTTTTATTAGCATCAAAGTTCTTGTATAAAATGAAATTTTCCATAGTGGGATACTTTTTAAACGAGTTCAATGCCAATTTGGCTCTAAGCACAACTTGGTTACATATGTCATTCCACCACAGTAAAGGTTTACGTTTTCTGTGGCAAGGATATACTTTTTTACGGAATGTCAATAAAATGTCAACTAATTTAGAAACAAAGTTGTTATAATTTTGTAATGGATCTGTATTGGGATTAAAAGAAAATCTTTCATTGCACAATTCAGTAAATTTAGACCAATCAATCTTTTTAAAATTAATTTCAGATAAAGAATTTATCGGAGGCGATACATAATTGGGTTGAGTTCGTGTGACAGCACCCGTGGAGCCGGTGTTGTAAATAACATTCAATAAAAGCGGGAAGTGATTACTACTGAGAGGGTCATCAAGAACCGATAATGAACAACTGGAACTTATCGACTGCGAAGCAATTACCAAATCCAAGACATTACCTTGCTGTCCAAAAGGAGCCAAGGTAGTGGTGGTGTGGTCATTTAAGCAGACTAGGTTTTGGGTCTCTGTTAGTGAGTGTAAGCTATTACCTCTGCGATCATTATTTCTAGAACCCCATGAAGTATGATGAGCATTAAAGTCTCCTATAACTAAATAATGTCTGTTAGCGATTTTCGTCAATGCACTTGATAACTGTTGAATTCTAAATTTCCCGTTGGGAGGAGGAGGCATATACACACATAATATGTCTACAGAAAATACATGAAGTTTGAGGGAGATTAATATGTTTTGAAAATGATAATCTGAAGATGTTGCAATAGTGGAGAAACTATACTTGTCCTTAACTGCCACTGCAACTCCTCCATGTGGATGGTCAGAGTCACGTCTCACTATATTAAAACCAGGTAGTCTAAAAATTTTATTAAGATTCAGCCAAGTCTCATTGAGGAGGATCAAATCTATATCTACATCACTGCTATAAACAAAATTTTTGAGTTGGTCTAATTTGGGTAAGATGCTACGAGAATTCCATTGTAGTATATTTAATTGTCCAACACCAATAGTGCTATCCATTATTTATGTGCAGCAAAATTGGTAATCAACAACTCTTTTATAGATTTTGCAGAGATAGGATCTGGACTACTAGTATCTTTCGTATTATGTAATTTAACAACATCTATTACAGTTTTAATCATAACACCCAATATGTCAACGGAGTTAATTACATCACTAAATAAAGCCCTTTTGTTTGGAATTTGATTAGAATACAAATCGGAAGTAGTTTTAACTTTTGCAGCAACTGTGGCGTAAGTTACATTACCTTTTATTTTCCCTTTTATTTCAGCAACTTTTGCAGCTTTTTGCGGACAAAGTGTTGAAACTGCTGTATGTGAGCCATTGCAGTTTACACATTTGACAGTGTCTTTGTTGTCACAGTCTTTGAAGAAGTGATTTCCTGTACAAATTGAACAGATTTGCTTACTTTTGCAGGACCCTCTGCTGTGGCCAAATTTGTAGCATGTGAAACATTGAAGTAACGGCTTGATATACTGCTTCACATCAAACCAAATATGATCGAACGTGACGTGATCAGGCGCTGTTGAACTTAAAAAAGTTATTAAGACTGTCGGTGTTGGAACCGAGGAGTCATCTGCGACCTTACGGTTGAAACGTTTGACTCCGATGATATCAGTTGCAGCCTTCAAGTTTTCTAATAAATCCTCTTCAGAAATATCAACAGGTGCTCGTATTATGCCCTGGCTTTCGAGATTATTGTATGGAATTCTTGCTAACCATTCAAATTTTTCCAGTGCCTTTTTGTTAAGCAAAAAGTTATTAGCGTCCTTCTTGTTGTTAAAAAATACTTTAACAAGTGCAGGTCCGACCTGTTTGACGTAGATAACTCCAGATGTAGTTTTCAAAACATTATTAACTTTGAGTAAATCCATTTTGTTATTTTGGCCATTGTTCGATGAAAGTAGGATTGTATACTCTTTCTTATCATTATCGGTGTAAATGTGGTTATAATCTCTGAAAAGTCCTCTACGGGTTCGAGAAAAGTTTGCCGCCATTTTCGTGGGAGGAGATTCTACGAAGTCACTCTTCTCATCGTTTTTCCTTTTTCCAGGACGGACGATGCCGTCACTGGAGACACTCATTTACCCAATTAATAGTAACGGATATGCAAGTAAATTCGACAGTAATTTGTAATCAAAAAGGGCTTAAAAGTAATTTTTCAAAATTAATTAAAATAAAGCAAACTACTTTGAAGCTTGGCGCCCTTTTTTCCCTTTTAATACTTTGTAAAGTGTCGACCATAGATAAACACTATTTGATTGAAGAGTGTCAGCCAGTGTTGCCAGACTTTTGCGAAGTTAATTCGCCAATTAGTGTGTGTGTAGGTGTAAGTAGGTCGATATTCGCCCAAGCCATAAAATCCCTAAAAATCAAGGAAAACAATTCCACAATTCTGCTAGCTGCCGGAAATTGGGGAATGTGAACTCTCTTATTTCTTCAATTCCTCACACGTAGAAATAATTAAACCCCCAAATGAGTTGTTTTACAACTCCATTTCCCACAAAATCACCGATCAAGTTTGTAATTACCGACATTTTCTTTAGTTTAGTAGCCTAAAATCGCCTTTTCCTATTTCAAACATAGCCGAGTCGCCGATCACTTTTTTAGTCGCCTCACGACCCCTTGAAGTAGCCTAAATGGTGAAAAATCGCCTGATCTGGCACTACTGGTGTCAACCGACCTTTTATTTTTTTCCACCTTTATGCAACCAACGGTATTTTTTTTAACTTCATGCAATCTTCATCATTGATAATAAGTGTTGCCAGGTAAAATCTGAAAAAGTAGATTGAGGAAAAAAACAGTAGATGCTTAACTTGCTTCAAACACTTTTAATCGACTTTCTTCAAACATTTGACGTACCATGTATCTGACCATTTTGGTTAGAAATGCATGTTTAGCTTGGTGCACTAGGTCTCTAAATCTATTATAGTCGATGTGGCATACCGTCGATGTAATAAACTTTCGCTGTAACGACTAATCCATGTAACGTTTTCGATACAGTGACTTTCGATATTGTGAATTAGACCCCTAGCAGGGTAATCGTTTGTACTCACATTTACTTGTACTGGGCCTTAATTTAGGATCTTTCTAATTTGTGATTAGAATGAAGTAAAAAAAAACATGCAGTTTATAAGAAACCTATTCTCAAGAAAGAATTTTGTTTTCAACAACCTAATCAGTTATTTTTAGAGTCGGTGCCTGTTTCCCGTTCCTAATGGAGATACTAAAGTTTGCATGACTGCCAACGATGTTTGTGATGACTCCCAAATTTTTGGTATTTTCTTCCTTTATTTTTTCCATCCTCTAAGGTATTTTCTCAAAAGAATTTGGCATTGGCAGATTTTCAGCTAGTTTTGGGCAGACTCTAAATTTATTTTCGTGATGGTCGCAATGTTCCTAACATTATATAACAATTAGGGACACATTATCGAACCAAAAGTATCGATACTGTATCGCATAAAAAGTATCGCACTCATAAAATTATATATCGAAATAATACTTACTAAGAATATTTTTGTCCTGCAGATTTTCCCTATTTAAAAGCAGAATAAAACACATGAATTTGTCTTTTTTATTGATTTATGATTTTTAATTGCAACAAATAATAATAATAAAAAAAATAATTCAATTAATTGATCAATTCAATAAATCGTCATTTCACGTAATTTGTGTTACTTAAATTTCCAATTTCCCACTCTTCCTCTGTACAATCACTTAGAAACAAAAATCTATTTGATGACGGTCTGTTTCTCGTTTTATACACTGTATTGCCTGCTTTTGAGAACAAACATTCTGACGAAGGGACAAACTTCTTGTATGCAATTTATTTATAGCCAAGTAATTAGTGATAAAGGTTGCCTTTAAAAAAATCGCTAGGTGGCTTGCATTATGATATGAGGCGTCCTAAGTAGGAATTATTCGAAACGATACGATACTTGTCAAAAAGTAATAATACCTGAAAAGTATCGAGTACAAAATTATCGGTATCGGAGGAAAAGTACTCGATAACAAAAAGTATCAATACTTTTTCCGAGTCCATAATAACAGTTTAGTTCTTGTCGAAAAGTTAAATGAATTTTGGATACGTTTACCTACTTCATTTTAATGTTCTATATTACCTAATTTCTATTCGACTGACAACTAGAGATGGTTAATATAACATAGTTCAAATTATAACGTTAAATTAAAAAATAATTATAGCACTTGTAATTTGAAAGACATAAAGATGCTAAAATTATAACGAACTTTTTTTCACTTTGGATTGGAGTGCGTTAAGAAAATTAAACAAATGCCATCTAGCGACATAATTTTATAATATTTCAATGCCATACCATCAATCTATCCGTGCTTTACTTACGCAGCTAACAAACAAAATCCTTCTTCGTCCTGAGTCATCTCCCTAAATATTTAATAGATGGCACCATATTTTATGTGAAAATTGCGGCTCTTGTCATTGGTTGAAACAATTATAACGTGAAATACTTTAACATATTATTTGTAGCATTTAACGTTTGGCGCGAAACGCGAAATAACTGATTGGTTTATTGATGTTAAATTTCACGTTTGAATACGCTAAGCGCTGCTAAATTTAGCACTTAGCAAGTATTACAATTGTTGTTATGTTATAAATTATAATTTTGGTTAATTTTGAGTGAATGGTGGAACGTTAGCAAAATTTCGTCTGGTGAAGCGATTTAAATTAAAATATAACTGAGTACTTTGATTTATTTAGTTAGTTTAGTGTTTGTTTAATTAATAAGTCGTTGTAATATTTGTATATAAAAGTACGAGTGCGTGCGTTATATTATTAATTATTATGAGTGTAATTGACTGTAAATAACTAGTGTAAAGGTTTGTGCAAATTGTAAATTGTTAAAGTATGAAGAGAAGCTCATTGATTTAACGTCTATAACCTATAACCACCATATTATGTAATAGTTACAAAACAAATGAAGTCGGTCGTAACTAACTATAAAAAACTGAAAACTATTCTATAGATAGACCATAGATGCTATACTTAACAAGTTAGCGCACGTCAACTATTTCACGTTTCTTTCCATTCGTTACATTATCGCACGACCTTGAGCTGCTAAAAATTATAATTTTAGCACTTTAAATAGCGCGCTATAAAAATGTAGCCTTTAGCATTTAGCGTGATATGCGGTGGATATGCGTATGTAGCAGTTAATCTCATCTCTACGTACAAAGCTTTTTTTTCCATCCTCTAAAGTACAAAATAGAGTGTATGATCTATGGTACAAAGTTACAAATCAGAAAGATGACAGTAGTACAGAAAGACTTGTATCCAAGGTCAAGGAATTTTTAAAAGAATGTGAATTTGACAAACAAACTAAGTATTTTGTGACGAAAGTTGTTTGTTTCGTTGTTTCCATTGAATGTTGTGGTAGATAAAATTTTTCAGAACAAGGATTTTTATTCCGTGACACTGGTGATGATCGCCATAATTTTTATATAATTCTTTATCTGACACTGGCACAAGCCTAGTGACCCCCTTAAAGGAAATAACAATAATTTGTGGTAGTTTCGTAAACTGTTCGTAAACAACAACATCGAAACGACACTTGCCCAAGCATAAAATAGTGGCCGTCATATTGAAGGAATACCAAATCTCGAGGTAGTGTTATAATAAAGAAGTGACAGAGTGATGGTGTACCGGAACTGATAGAATTGGCTTAGCGTAGCGGATCACTTGATACTGGCGAAATCCGAAGATATAACGTATTTGTGGTGAAAATGACAGATACCAACTCGTTTACGTCGCTTCTGGCGCTTGTGGACAGCCATTTATCGAAGACAAAAGTCTCCGAAAGTCGTTCGGAGAATGGCAATGGCACGCGTGATCCCTTTCCTATACCCTCTATTGGGCTCAGCAAACATCCCCAAACTGGTACAGTGTCAGACACAACTCTTTCATTTTCTCCCGAACAGAGATTGCCTATTCCGCGATTTATGCTTGGAGAGAGTCCCATACAGAGTGTCCTCAATGAGCAAGTTGCCAATATGCTAAAAGCTAAGGAACTCCGACGACAGCAGGAGGAAGAAAAGCAGAGATTAGCAGAACAGATGAAAAAGATGACTTTACAAGAAGATGACGACGTCATAGACTTAATGCAGGCATTGCAGAAACCTTGGGACACAGAGGCCTCATTACAACCTATGAAAGAGCAAACGCTAAGCAGCAGTAGCTCGTTTGAGTCTCTGTTTGCACCTAAATTTGACTCCATAGATCTAGATGATGTTAGTGTCAAAGACATAGCACTGCCCGAGCCTAAGCTGCCATGTAAAACAGATATGTCTTATATTCTATTTCAAAAATTTAAAAGAGGGAAATGTTCTGCATTTGGTAGGGTTTTGAGTGCAAAAGTAAAACCAGTTGCCGCTCCATATTTGCATGAGAAAATCCAACATAATATCAAGGTGTTTGACTTCAGCACACCGTCACCTGATGACATCATTAAAGAGAAGCGAAGCTGGAAACCAGCCTGTAATGCCTCATACACGCCTGACATAGTAGGGTTCATTTGATCTTCACCTGATTGTCTTGGAGTGAATTGGGTTAAGAAGAAGTAACACTTTGAAGAAATTTAATAAACTTGCATATAGAGCACTCTGGGGTTTTACATGCCAGGCCCCATCCAATAATATAAAATGATAATAATTATTATCTGATGATATTGTGCAATGAACTTTTGTGTGACACTTGTAATAATGTAGTAATAACAAGTTAAACGTAACATATAATGTAATAATTATTATAATAATAATATGATAAGGTCATTTATTATTTCTGAACATACACAAAAATATGAACAAGTGATCAAACATAGAGTTTAGATGTGGGAGACAGGAACCCAAATTATAATCTTGTGCTTAAGTATTGCTAGCTTCTCCTCTCTAAGTAAACAAAAATATAAGTATTTGATCTAAAATTAGATTTTTTTTATTTTTCCTTATAAATCTGCCATTGGCTTGTAAAAGCCATAATTAGATGGGTTTTCTTAGGAGATTAACATACTGCAATTCGCACCACTCCGTAGCGCAGACTGCAGGGTATGGCACACTACTCTTCACACTACCGTGCAGATTTTTAAGCCTAAGGATGTGTTCAGTTTCCTACAATGGATCTCGACGTCGATAAATTTATATTTGCCATCGAAAATCGATAAAATTTACCTTCATAATTTCTTAAATCATTGTAATGAAGTTGAAATGATCCATTTATTGATCTGGTTCGTAAAAAGGGATGTATTTGGATACATCCTCTTCGGTGTCTTTTTATTTGAGTAAACATAAACCTAATAGACAGAGACCCCTACCGCCTTAGGACTCTTCAGCGCCCATCCGGGGGCAAAAGGGACCACTTTGGGAAACTACGCTATAAACCATTAAATCAAAATTAATTAAAATACAATCAAAAATTTTAATTTAAAATCATTACTTTCCATATCACAAATACAAGTTATAAGTAGGTATAAGACTAAATCAAGATTAAAAAATTTCATTAAAATTAATTACAAATCACATGCATTAATAACAGATGATTAAAATACAATGGAAGTTTCTGTTTAAAAAAAATGTGGTACGTATTATGTACATTGTATAACGTAAATAAACTACTTAATGTCAAACATATATTCTCTTTCTATCAGAAAAACCAAACGACTATTTAAACACATGTAACTCCGAATTTAGAATTCGCTACTTGTGCCTTTCTTTCTTCCGAAGGCACAAACTCGTATTATTTAAAAATATAAAAACATATCGCTAATATTTTAAACAGTGTTTTTTTTAAAATGCGACAGTATGGGTAAATTGGAAATTAATTAGTAATACAAGAAAAGTGTCTTATGAACCATTAAGTCTAAAACCATTAAACCGCTGGACAAGTTACGAGTTTTGGCATAAACGTAAATTTATACAACTGTGCGGCTTCAGTTATAAACCAAAAAGCAAGCTATCTACATAGGTATATAAAACTTATATGTAAAGTTAGATATTTTACTCTTAAATAATTAGTATGTGATTTTTATTTTACTCTGTTTACAGGATTTATTATGATAGGTTAAAGTACGTCATATCGTGTAACAAATTAGCACATACTTTGGACAATATCCTTATGTATCCATTGACCTGTTGTAGGTTAATGGGTGTATCGTGTATTTTTTGTACGACCGTTATTAATAATAGTATATAAATACCTAATATATAAATACATTTGATAGCAAAAGTCGCGACCGTTTGACATAATCTTGGTTATTAGAATATTATGTCAAACGATACATTCCGCACTTAACGCGATAATGTGTTACGTATTCATTGTATGGTGTTTGGCGGTATATTTTTTGAACGTGTGGGAGGAATAATTATGTGGAAAAAGTGGCCACAAGTCTTGCCGGCTAGCCTTTAGTTTCAGGCTACTTAAAAAGTCTAAGAAGTCTTTCATATAGGTATTCGTTTGACAGATCTACTGGGACTTGTAAATCCCATTTGAGGAAGAAAATACCAGTATTTCTATCAACGGAACGGTATAACGAACTAGTGGGAATAATCAAACAGAACGGACAGAAGTACTGTTCTTTTAACTTTTGTGAAATTTGTTCTGTTGACAGAACAAATGGGATTTACGATTCCCATTTGTTTGTATAAGAAAAGTATCACTAGTCCTGTCTACAGAACTGTAGAACTGGTGGAAGTAGTATATTATAATAATAATAAATAAATAAATAAATACATTCGTATTCTGTGCAATTGCCGGAAAATACCGCCTCTCCAATTTAAACATTCCAAATTAATCTTTTAGGCCTTGGGAGAGGCGAGAGTCTAAAAAATCTGTGGAAATTGAAGGCGCAGAAATCGCTCCGGCGGCGCAGCCACAAACATCACCAACTGCTACTGCAGCAATAGTGCTGGTAAAATTTCACAGGCACTTGTCAACTAATGTCCCAGGGTGACGGGCGCAGTGGCAGTGCCCCTCAGATCTTAGCGATTTAAAGCTCTGAGTGGCACTGCAACTGTTACGCTCAGGCGTGTCGCTTACCACCAGGCGCATGACTTAGTCATCTCATCACTTAAAATCATAAAAAGGTGTAGATAAATGAATAGTTTATTTAGCATATGATGTTTATTTTCTACTTAAATTAAAAACTATACATCGTACATAGGGGCACAACATACTGTACATACATTTGTATACCTAATTCTCTTTGTGTTTGCTAATAGCGTACTTAATTATATTTAATTTAATTATATATTTAATTATATTGTACAGTCAAGAGCACATCAAGCCTGACACTTGGAACCGTTATTATTTTAATTGTTTGAAGTTAAAACTGGAAGTAAATTAATTTGCTACTCCGCGAACCCAGTGAAGTTAAATCGTGCGAAATAGCTGAGCTTGTGTTTGCTTCCTTTTTTCATGACGTTAACATTAAATAAAAGTAATAACACAAGTACAACTACAGTCACAACAAACAAGGCCAAAAATATAACCGTTACGTGTTTTATGAGGCAACGTCATGAGTTTGTTGATTATTTGACGCTCGGCCGAAAATTGAGCTCGCTCATTTTTTTTATAAAGGATATTTTGCAGTAGGCCGCTGATGGCCTTGACTGCGCTACCGGAGAAAAGGGCGAGCTGAAGGCTCATAACCCCTAAAATAAACTTAAGGCTAAGTAGCGGGCCTGAGGGCGCCCAAGTGGGCCGGAGCTCGGCTCAGGGCGCTACTGGAGACTTCCGCCAGAAGGGCTGTTGCGTGAGGGACGGAACTGACTAGCGATCTAGTTGACCTTCAAAGTGGCGAGAGTGATAGGGTCGTCAGAGTCGTTGAGGACTTCCCTTGGCCGACGGGTCCTGTTTACGCGGTGGGGTTGTTCCCTGAAGGGGTCGTAAGAGGATGCAGCCACCACGAGGGGGTTGGGGTGGTGAGGAGCAGAGTCGAAGTATTTCCTCGATGGAGCTCGCTCATAACGGTTGGTCATACTTAAATTCCAGTAACTACGTCCAATTATAACTACCATCCTGTAAAAACCTATTCAATGCAAATAAATCTCATTTTATTTCTAATACACCCAGACGTAATAATTCTTCGCAAAAATGTAATATTTCATAACATTTCAATAAAATAAATGAATTTGATAATCAAGCGCAATATTCAGGCAAATTAATTTACTTCTTGGATTAATTCGTTGAAGTTATATGTTACATTCTTCTTCTTCTAAAAGTTATGGCCCCATCGATCGAAGTAATCGATGATTTCGTTAATGTCAAGTTGAAAAGATTTTCTGAAAAATTGACCGGTGAATTTCGGCAAAATTTATTGAATCTACAAAAAATCTACACAGACTATTATAGAAACAATTTTTTTTTTTAATAAATTGACACAGATATGTAATATTAAAAGAATATTTGATTTTAAGTGTCCAGTTTGATGTGTTTCTTGATTTTGCACTTACTTGAATTTAGCACCAACTTGTTTTACAACAACAGTGGTCATCATCACTAACATTATTATTACTAAGTACTAATTAACACGTTTAAGGCAATGTGGCCGCCTGTTGTACATTAGTATTCTAATGGGTTGGTCAAAAAGTCAAAGCGGTTTTAGCTACTACCTCACTTTAAAAAAGCCTTATTATGATACAGAAAGCTTGCTAGAAGTTATTTCATAATTATATTTATACAACAATTAATTTATATTACAGTGTTTTTTTTTTAAATGGGACATGGGGAAACCATAGACGATACACAAGAAAACTTAGGAACCATCAAGCTTTTCTTGTGAAGACAATATTGGCATAGTCATTATTTTTGGTCACGGTTGCCCATAAAAATGATTAAAACTTTTTAGTGTCAATTTTATTCGTTTTGTATGAAACACATTTTATGAAATTTGACTAATTTCGATTTTTTTCGATCCATACAATGATGTCCTTACATAAAACTCAGTCGGTCTGCACTAAAAAAAAGTTGATCAATTCTATTCATTTTTATGGACAACTCACGCTTGACCAAGAAAATAACTACGTCAAAATTGCTTTCACAAAGTCTTCTTTAATGGTTCCTAAGACAGTTTCCTTGTATTCTATGGTTTCGGATTTTCCCATACTGTCCCATTAAAAAAACACACTGTATATCTCTTATAAATACATATTGCTAAATAAATATAGCAAATCTTAATATACAGAAAGTATGTACACAAGATGTCTATAATACACGTGCCTATTTACTTAGTTTAGGCATCGGAACAATACTTAGTATTTAATTGTATAGCTTTACGTAGATCGTATAATATTCAAGGCTCCCTTTTTACTGTTTGTGATTATCATAGCTTCCTTTACATTTATTTGTTTTACTTATGTTAGATAATATATCTTTATCTCTAAATATAAAAAGAATCCGAAAAAAAGGCAAAAGATTTTATATCAACACTGTCTATACATGATTGATTAAAATTTGATTTTTATTTTTTGAAATGTTTTTGATATACTTTGATACAGCATGGATTTTTTGGCCAACCCAATGTTTATGTACAGTCACGAGCAAGTTAAGCTTAACATCTTTTTCATCGCAAGCGCCATAAAGTTAAATTTAACTGTTAAGAGCCCAGCTTGACGAGCTCTTGATTCTGTACATTAACTGTGCAATAGTAATATGTAAATATTTCATTAATCGATTAATTAATGAATTCATTCATTCTACGATTCATTAATTATACCATTCACACATTCACCCAAGAAAGAGCATTAACACTATGGGAAACAGCCCTGTGTCATCAATATAGAAGAAAAATCTCAATTTGTACATAAATTCATAATTTCAATTCATATTTATTATAATTAACACGTTCGTCGCCGACTAGAATTGTCAAAAATGTTTAAAGTATGACATTGGCTTATATGACTGTTTTAGGTCTCATTTGTATACGTATATAATTTTTTTTACGCGATATTTCATTATTTGGCTCTAGTTTGTAATTATATTTAGTGCCGGGCATTTTAACCCGGTGCGGCCTAAACGCAATAATTAGTACGTTGAGGCCGTGCCGGTCGCAACGCCGGGCAGAGTATGTACACGTAATGTTCGCTCGATGTTTACCTAAAACTGACTTACGTCTTTCATCCTTTTAAATCCAATTTGAAATTAAAGTAAATTTTTTGATTCGAAATATACAATACTTTTTCCTCTTAGTCTAGAAAAGTGTGTGTGCCATCAAAAATCCTAAAAACCAAGTGGCAACAGCAGTTCATTAGGGCCACGCCGCGGCGTGGCTGAATCAATGATCCCGTGCGCCGGTCATGTTATATGGTTAAATCAGTAGCGTTTGTCACCTGCGGCGTGAACGAGAATCGCAAAGTTAGGTGCACCGTGCCGGTCATTTTAACCCCCCACGGCGATGAACGTGTTAAGAACATATTATTTATCGCCGTTATCCAATTTACAAACTTTAAGATCACCCTAGATAATTTTTCAAAATCTACAAGAAAACTTGTCACACACACAAGTGAAAGCATCCGTAATATTTATATTATTAAGGTTGGTAATGCCTGCCGAGATGAGGCTCGTGGTGTTTTCTGGTTGCCTGGTACACATCGCGCTCTTTGTCTGGATATTTGGTGGGCAGATTCGGCGAGTGCAAGTTAACTTTGGCTGCGTATCTGTTGCAAAATAATTGAAGCAAATTAGTGTCTAAGCATAGGTTATCAATTCATATAAATTAACTTTAGTAGGCATTGACTTACAATTATAAGTCAATGTTAGTAGGTATTTAAAACTATAGTGTTAAGTCACTGCCACGAACAGTTGAACAAATGGTACGGTTGTAAAGCAACGTCTTAATAAATGAGCATCTTCGAAGTAATTTTGCGTTTTATATAAATTTACATGGGATCCGTAACAGGTACAACGCCATTCGAATCGGGCACATCTCAATATTCATTTCTTCACAGGTAGACAATGAACAAAGATTAACATGTTAATTGTTTTTAATATTACCAACTTTTCATGTATGTCATTTAAATTTTTAATTTATTTACTTATTTTGTTTTTATTTGTGTGTGTGTGTGTTTATTTACAGTTAATTACTATTTTTAAGTTTATTCTGTAATTTGAAGGATGCATGGAAGATATTGCTATTTAGCAATAAGGCCGCTCGTTGTACCTGCTTTTTTTATGTATTTGTCCTAGTGTAGCAATAAAGGATATTTGTATTTGTCAAAAGAATTCAAAAGACTATATGCGATTAAAAATTTAACTTTCCCCTACAAAAAAAATTCTAATTCTGACTTACACACTGCTTTAGTGTAAGTAATTGCGAGAATTAAAAAGAAATTGTTTGTGGTATTACTTATTTTACATTAAATTACGGTCGACGAATATACCAGATGCACTACATACTTAAAAAATGGCGGTAAAAAACAAAAGCACTTTGTAATTTTTATTTATTTTTGAGCAAAAATACAATGAAATGTGATTTAAGCAAAATTTCACACATTAAACTCGTTTTACTTTTTTTTTACTCATTCTCCTACATTGTTTAGTTATTTATTGTTATGTGAAGCTCAATATATTGTGTGTTTTTTTGACAGTATGGGAACCATGGGAGATACAGGGCTTAATTGAACCATTAAACCATTTTTGTGAAGACAATTTTGGCATAGTCAATTTTGTGGTCAAGCGTAACTTGTCCATAAACATGAATAATATTGATAAAATTTTTTTTAGTGCTGATCGACTCAATTTCACGTACAAATAATTTCATTGTATTGGAATATAAAATCGGGACAATTTAATAAAACGATTTCTCATACAAAATGAATAAAATCGTCAATTTTTTAAATGCTGAGAGACCCAGTGTCTTGTAAGGATTGTTTCATTGTAACGGAAGAATAAATCGGGTCAGCAGAAGTTGATAAAATTTAATAAAATATTTTTTTTTAACTTTTAATTTATTGATCGAGTTCTGCTGTCTCGATTTTGTCTTCTAATTAGATAAAATGATTTTACATGAAACTTGGTATATCAGAACTATTTTATGAACAATACACGCTTGACCAAAAAACTACCTATGCCAAAATGGCTTTCACAAAAAAAGACTTAATACTTCCTAAGACAGTTTCCCAGTATATCTCATATCTGTCGGATTTCCCAATCTGTCCCTGTTAAAAAAACCACACTGTATATACCTCGGTAGGAGCCGGGATTGCCTGACTCGTATAATACAAGGCATTGCCATAATGTACTATATATAAATAGAATGTACTATATAATAATAGAGTAGTCATAACAAAGATTACCTTATGCCAGCAATGTCAATCTCGTAATGTCCACTGAGAACGTATTCGTTGGTGACTGGCTGAGGGACACCATCCTCATTCAAATTTTGAATGAAACCTAGGCACACCTGTAGTACAAGGTTAAGGGTAAAATCAACGACTTGATTCTATAGACAAGAACTACATGTTCACAAAAAAAACACTATAAATAGTGATAATGTTTTGTTTCAGTGGTGAATTTAGTCAGAGTATCAGTACCGTAGTATCGCGGACAGACAAACAATAACAACTTTTTTATTAAAAAAAACCGACCTCATAAGTTCGTGGAATTACATCTATTTGCCAAGTTTTATTGAATTCGGTTAGCGGAAAGTCGGCGAAACCGGATTCATCCCCAAGTTTTCCACCCTTAGGGGTGGAATATTTTGTTCAGGTTTAAATACAGCCTCCTGGCCATTTTTGCGACCAGGGTCGACGGCCCATTTGTACAGGCACGGGAGGCTCTTCATGCGACTGCCAGGGGGATTAATGTTAAAAAAAAATTGTATTTACTAACTTAGTCATAAGGTTACAATTGTTACTAACACGATATGGAGATAATCCGAAATAAACTATTATTATTATTATTATTAAATGGGACCAATACTGAGGTATCCTCTTTTCAACAAAAAAAAAAAAGAATCATTAAAATCGGGTCACAAATTCTGGAGTAATCGCGTAACAAACACAGAAAAAATAAAAAAATACAGTCGAATAGAGAACCACCTCCTTTTCACAAATCGGTTAAAACGCAGTACAAGAACGTAACACGAATTTGCAAATATATATTATTTTTTAATTTAATACAGATGCTCAAAACGTGGTATTTTTCGCACTAGTGCTTTTTACTTTTCCATTTTTTTTAATTTACTGTTGTTTCAAGTCTTAAACATAGAACTAAAGTGGTTGTATATTTATTTAATATTTATGTGCCTTGTGACGTAAGTCATTCGTCATTAAAACTTATATTTACTTACAAACATCTTATTTGTTTAAATTGCATAGGTGCTTTATAAAACAACGGGTTACATTTAAAAATACCAAAATATTTATAATAAAGTTGGCTGATTGAGTGTTAACAATGACCGGAGGTGAATATTACGCAAGACTGCTGCGCGCGCGCCACTAAAATAGTAATTTTAATGTGGCTGAATACTGGCAACAGTTGCCATTGTAATCTGAATTTTTATCAGACAAAGAAATAAAATGAGTTTTTTTTTAATACTGTTATATTTTGTTTTCAATGTAGTTTTTTCGCAAATGTATATTATTAAAAAACGTCGTTTGATACACGTGCGGATTTGTCATTTTCGTTAGTCTCGAGACTCGTGAATAATGACTAACTTTCCGTTCTTGTATCAAAAATAACTATAACATGTTTGGGTAAGAGCAAACATGTTATAGTTTAACCAACTTAAACAAAAAGGAGGAAGTTATACGTTCGGCTGTATGTATGTTTTCAGATATCTTCGTCAATTATTATTGTGGATCGTTTTTGAAGTCTTTTTTTGTTAGTAAGGGTGGACTTTCATGGTGGTCCCATTGTCACCAAGATAGCATCTGATGAGGGATCCCATGAAAATCGAATGAATTCCTCAAATATTACAAGCGCGTGCGTGTATTTACCAATTTCTCCATCAATTGCGGACCGATTTTGAAAATTCTTCTTTTGTTTGAAAGGGTATACTACTCTCGAGGTGGTCCCTGATACTGGGGGGTCTACTCTTGATCTCCGTCCGACATACGTCCGAAACAATTACGGCCAAATAAGTAATACTTGACCAAATGAAAAGACGCATGATGAGAATGAAGCTTCATACTTGATACTTGTATTTTAATTTTGTCGAATATTACTTATTTCACAGTAATTGTTTCGGACGGATATCGGACGGAGATCGAGAGTAGACCCCCTGTTCTGGGTTCGTTTCGACTATTACAAATTATTAATTTTTGTTTTTAGTATTAATGACTTTGCCTTCGCATTTAGTCAATGAGTGTTGGGAAAGTAGAATTACAAATTATGGAAGAGGTACAGAATTTGGATATAAAAGGATATGGTAAGTTAGCTAGGTGGGTAACTGATATAAATCGGCGTACATATTAAAGCTTGCTATTATTATTTTCGGATTTTCAGATATTCAAACCATATTTGTATTGCAAAAACGAGCGATTCGTTCTGTGTACCGTCTAGGCTCTCGGGTTTCTCTCAGAGAAAAGGAGACTGGTACCATGACTGTGGCATCACAGTACATTTACTCAAATATTTTATATGCCCGTAAAAAATAGACATAATTTTAATAAGAAAGAAGATATCCATAATATTAACCTTAGAGCTAAGTCCACACTCATGGTACCACGATTTCGTTTAACCAAGGTAAACAACTCTTTTATGGGGAATTGTATACGTTTTTACAATAAGATTTCGGAGCATATATTAAGTTTATCATTTCCTAAGTTTAAAAACTACATTAAAAATATTTTGATCGAAAAATCATATTACAAAATTGAAGACTACTTGTTAGATAAAAATGTATGGAACGACGACATAGCTCCAGAATCCACAAAAATTTGATTCAAAGTGTATTCCATAGCATTTAAGTTTATTTGAAAAGAGCAATCCCTAGAGTTTCTTGCTCGTTCTTCTCAGGGAGGTCAGCGTAGTGAACGAGCAGTAGCTTAAATGTGACGTTTTCAAGTGTAAATTTATTTTACCTATGGAATAAATAATCTTTGACTTTGACTTTCGATAAATGAGGCCATTTATTTTCCACAAATAAAAGTCAATTTCTCACTTGACACAATACGTGTATATCGAGTTCTCAGGTTTTCGCGATTGTTACACATATGAAAATGAAACTATTTTTCCGAATTTGAATCGCGTACATTTGTTTTTTGAAAAAAAAAACAAACTTTTGTTTAAAAAAAAAACAAATATACGCGATTCAAATCCGGGAAAATAGTTTCATTTCTTTCAATACGTGTTATCAATAAATCATCGTCACCATGACAAGCAGAAAAGAAAATATAAAATGTATAAAGGAGTCCGTTCAATTGTCACCAAGAAGCCCGAATGTGATGAGAGGACCCCATGGAAATCGAAAAAAGCCGACAAAGCCGGCAAACTTTTGAGGTAGGTTTTTTTTTCAATGAAAAAGTTATTTACATAACAAAATAAATCTTAATAACTAAAAATTAAGATCCTATTCAATATTATGAATAAGCCATACCTGTCTCTTAAAAGTGTAGCCGTACGTGGTGGTGGTAGTTTGTCCGCAATAATTTCCGTCGCGGTAAATGGGTTCGCCGCCCCACGACCACAGGTCGAGCTCGTGGTCGTGATCGGTGAGGAGGAGTTGCACGTACTGCCGCCGGATTCCCTCCTCCCGTTGGCGCAGTAAAGCGTCGCGACCCACGAACGGGATGTCTTTCTGCGGGAACGTGTCAACATCTCATAAGTGTACATAGCGATGGAGATACCGTTATATTGAAGTACGGTCTGTCGATAGCTAGTAAGAGTAAGAAAGTCAGCAAATTCCGACCTTTTCGTTTTCCAACAGCAGAACTCCTTCCTAAATGTGATCTACTTTCAATACGCCTGTTGTTCATACTACTAACCGTAACAAAAAAGATTCGCTAACGCCCTATATCCCGTCGCTCCAAATCAGCAGAAGACGAGCAGACATTTTTAGTACCACTGAACGGGTTCGTGCTGCATACTCCCATAGATTCTTTTTCTTTCTTGGCACCTTTTTGTATAACAAAATAAACCGTTCACTATGTATAAATCCTATTAATAAGTTATATGTAAGAAAACCATACAAGACTGATTAAAAGGATTAAAATAAATGATACCGAAAATTTAGTATCTGTTGTTACGTAATATTAATAATAGTTAAGATGCTAACAAATATAATTAAGTATTAATGTTTTATTGTAATTTATTGTTATTGAACAAAATATGTTGTAAAAATTTGTTGACTAACCACTATGCTACACTCACCGATTTGGATATCTCAGATACAAGTAAGCAATTTTACTTAGTTTAGGTATCACCTAGATTAACTTGCACTACTAACCTTAATTTAAGTTATGTAAACGAACAATAATATCACTGTTTGCGATAGTCTGGCGCATATATGTAAATAAAAGGTTATTTAATAAGATTCATGTATTTAGGTAAAATTTTTATACAGAATAAACTCCGTACCTGACAAGCATTACACTATAATTGCTATTTTGGTAATTTTACAGGGGACGAGATTTTGTCGAAATGCAGCATGTACAACATTTAGAACGGCTTGAAATAAAACCAATTGGGTTTTAACATTGACTTACAATTATATGGACGTCAGGTCCGCGCTAAAAAGTGTCCGAACTTCTAGGGCGTTAAAATCGTATACAGAGCGTCATTCACGCTTTAGTCTTCGTTTGTTCGACTGACAGCGAAGCAAGCAAAATTAGACAGTACCTACTGCGATGACATTACAATTTAAATTCAACGTTTTAACTTTTTCATATTCCTTTACATGTCACTACGTTTAAATAGGTTGACTTGGGACATTTTTTTCGTGGTTTTTGTATTAGACCCGTCGTCCATTCATTTTTAAGTCAATGGGTTTTAATAACATTTCGAACTACCCTAATTCTCGTACAACCACCTTAGTGCCACCTTACCTATTTCTGCCGCCAATCAGTAAAGTTAGCATTTCCGGAACGCCGGTTTCGAAGGGTAAGGGTGATAATTACAGTCGAATAGAAGACATGACTTTAAATTGTTTTGTTATTACATTTGTTAATTTTTAGTAAAAATACGTCCCGCTTACAGTAAAGGAGACCATCATGATAAAACCTGCATATTCCGGCTTCTCCTTAGAGCACATACAGCGTTATCAGTATCAGATATAAAAATAAATACCTAAAAATTGTCTTCCATTGTTTCACATGCGCTGAATGATACGAATTATGTGATTTGCGGCGTCGTGATCGCAATGGCGACCGTCGGGCTCATTACTGTGCTGCTAGCTCTTACTTCTTTTTTTTAAGCAACGTTTTTTTATATTTAACAATTGCAAAAGGTTCTTTAACAAAAGGATGTAGAGATGGATTGGAACACTAGATATTACAAAGCAACTTAATTTCTCAGACGACACGAACACTGATGTTAAAATTCAATAGCTGCCTTAATTCCAGTGCTATAATACAACGTTTTTATGATTCATAATTACAAACTGTAAGAGAGGATCTAGAGACATTGTGGCTTGAGCAAGCACATGTCAAATATTGAGCAGAGAGAGAATAGAGAGTGTAGATTCCGCTACGATGCTGCTATTATGATGGGCGTATTGTTATAACCCAACCTAGTCCGGCCATTTTGCAAGAGTTAATATTTTTTTATTGCCGTATGCGTATGCGTTGCGTGGAGTTACATTTTATTGCCGTATTTTTCCCTTAACGCAAAGTCCAAGTTTTCATATTTTGCATGAAACTCAAATCGAGTAAAGAGCGGCATCATCGTTCCGGGAATCGGGAAGTCAGTCCGTTATCGATCTATGTGTAATTTTTATTAATAAATCGGGTGTTGGGAAAATAAGTTTTTTTTTAAAAGACGATTTCGAACGGACGCCTAACAGTACGAAGCTCCATACTAGGAAAGCAGATGCCACAACCAGAGGACTAAAATCTGTCGGAACCAGGAAAGTCCTTCAGTTCTTCAATGCTGTCGGCCTTGGCTCTGAACTATGATTAGTGGTGATCACAATAGATCAGTCAATGGTCGCACTGATGAGAATCTATAATAATAATAATAGAAGAAACCCGTGTCCAGTAGGCGAATGAATAATGGTTTGATAACGATATTTCTTCTACAAACTTCCTTACATCAAACTTAACACGCCAGGTGCGTCCGCACTCCAGTGGGGTGGTCATGGTGTCCAGGTCCTGGCCCCAGAAAGCGAAGAACTTCTCGACTCGCAAAGTCCGCGCCGCGTAGTAACCGACGTGTTGAATGCCGTACTTCTCACCCGTCTTTATCAACCGGTTATATACGTGTAGAGCGAACTGGTAAAGAAATGTTAAAAAGTGAATAAATTTCGAAAACTAATTTTTGTTATACTGACAGGATCCGTGATCCGTGATCTCAGTTGGCATAGCGTCTGAAAAGATTTGCTAGAAGTATTTTGCATTGCGATTTACAGCCGGATCGAAAGAATTTTTTCTAAGTGTCGAGTATATAACCAGAAATAGAGACGAAATAAGGGCCATTCGTCTCTGGTAACTCATCAGACAAATGGGCCTTGTATCACTTTTAAATATCAACTCTTGTTTGCGCTGAAATCACAGATTAGAAAGCTGAAATAGTATAGCGCCAACAACTGACCTGTGTGTACGTCGGCGTACTTATATTCCAAAAATATTCTGTATTTATTGTAATAAAGATAATATCTCCAACTATGGGAACTGTTCCATTCGGTGGTGTGGGAGAAACAGCAAAACATCTATTCTAATTAAAAAACAAACGGAATCACATTTCATAGGTAATTAAATATTAAATATGAAATTTTGCAATTTTCGTCCATTATAGCAAAGCTCAAGTTAAACTGGTCGATTTGAAGTGAAACAATTGACGACACACGTCAATTGTTTCAAATTCGGGCTGGCAAATCTGTGCGCAGTAGTCACCGTAATGATTTGGCAGAAAAGTTTTCAAACAAATTAAATGATCTATCTTCTCAATTTTTGGTTATACACTCGATGCTATTATCATAAATGTAGCAGCCGCCAGACGTGCCAGTCGAACCCTCTTCCGACATTCACGCACGTCTTAGTGCAAGCAGAAGATAGCAGTAAGAACACGTATCATATAATATAAACAAGTTTTACAAAATATAATATAGGGTTTTGCAATGCAATGCAATCATAATATAGGGCAATGGTGGGTCTATTTCGTTAATCACTTTACGAATTTTGAAGCCACCGAAACAATGAATTTATTGCAAACCAAATTTCCGGATCACATAATTTCACCAGCCGTGAAGTGGTTTCGCATCATTTTGTCAAAAAGTGATTAAAAACTTTAATGAAAGAATCTACATCTGTAACTGTGGTCGTGGTGGACATTTATCAGATATCATTTTTCATTCATAATTGAAAAAATAGTAGTAGAATAAAAGGTAAGGTATGCTTACCTTTTTTAATACAATGAAAATTTGAATCATTGTCATCTAAATTTATTGTTTTATTTTGATTTACAAAACAAAGTTCTTGTTGAAAAACCCTTTACATCAGTCGATCAGTAATTCACCAACCAACGACTTATTTACTTCTACCTTATATCACAGTGGCGCAGCGGTGACAACTAACACCGTATCACCTGCGTCATAGTAAAATAAGCAATTCAAGCTACACCTTAACAAGCAATAGTACTTTAGCAACAATTATTCTTACCTCATTAGGTATGTACAAAACGTAACCCAACTCGCCAGTATGGGTTAGATTCATGGCTCGAATCCCATTGGCTAGTCCCACATCCAGCTCTTTGAATGTGAAGAAGGGGAAGTTGCTGGGCGCGAGATCCGTGTCCGTTAGTTCCGAAAGCAAACTTCTGGAGAAAGGCCCCATGATGCAAATGGCGGTGTACATGGAAGTTACGTCGGATAGGCTGACGCTTCCGTTTGACGGTAGATGGCGCTTTAACCACACTTTGCAGCGCGTCTGTTGTATGGTCGGCGCTATCATCATGTAGCTGCGAATTTTCATATGGAAAATTATTCAGGGTCTGTTTTAGATACTAGCAACCTCGCAGGACCGTGTTACTAACATCATAAAGAACTTTTGTTCGACGACATTTAATAATGAAAAAAACTATTAACATTATATCAGGGCGATTTGCCCGCGGGCGGCCGTGTTGTTCCTGCATTTTCGAGGTAAAAGATTCGCTGACGGAGTATAACTCTACATAATAATAGTCAATGTAATATGTTTTTTATTTTGCGTTTATTGCTGGCGTCAAGCTCTACGGGCTTTCTGAAAACCAGCGCTGTGGTATGTTACTGCAGCACAGGCTGAGCAAAGTCCCGTATTCGCATGACGCTGCAGCACAGACCATACCGGACTATCGACTTTGTATGCTTACTATAATTTTAATTGTAATTATGTGTCAAATAATTATTTCTATGTAAACTGTTTTTTGTGTGGTTTTGTGTTGTTGTATTATGCCAATAAAAGTATGTCTACGTCTAAATAGATTTAAATAGATCGCTCTAATTGGTGATAATTTTGTTTAGAACAAGGGTGGGAGTCGTCGCAGAGGACGCTTGCACATTTGAACTTATTCTACCAAGTACAGATCTAAAAAATGTCAGTACATCAAAATTTATTTAAAAAGTTTATTTTTGGTAAATTTATTATTGTGTAAAAAGTCATGGAACAAAAGTTGTTGTTTATGATGTTAGTAATATAGTGCGGCGAGATTGTTTATATTTTCAAAACAAACCCTATGTATCTTTTATCATTTCGAACCCTCCTACCTAAAGTGTCGTATGTCGACATTGCCAAGTTTACAGGGGAGTGTTTTAAAGCTTTGAATTCATTGAAATGAGTTTTATTCGGCAAAGCTCGTTACTCACATAGAGTATTATAAAATCCTAGATATTCGTTATATGATCTATGACGATCTATTAGATGATAATTTGTGAACCGATTTTGATGAATCTTTTTTTGTTGGCGCACCTCTGTAGTCGTCCCATTTAAATTTTAAGAAAATATTGTACCTCTAAGGGTGGCAAACTAGGGAATGAATGACTTTTGAGGTCGGTTTTTTTTATTTTCATTCAAAAATTTTTAAAAACTTGTTTGTCTCAACTGGAAAATATGTTGTTAACATGCTTTATTCGCAAAATGATTGAGTGAAACAGATTCAAAATTTATTTCTGTCTATCGAAAAATAAAAACGAAATATTCGTGATTTTGTATATCAAATAGGTTTAAAGTGCACGTACTGATAGTCAGAGATGCGGGCGAGACTGCAGTCGTTCTCGTAGCCGCCGAGAGCGTTCTGCATGCCCGTGTGAATGATGCTGCCCACAGGGACGTCCACGTTGTTGGAGCATAGGTACTGCAGCATGTCCACCACTTCGCGGCCTTGTGACTGTATTGACACAGTGAACGGTGTAAAGATTTCCAATACAGTAATACAGACCTACCGCTTAACTGAGTCGGTTCCTGAGTAACAGTTTGCGTAACAGTTACGTCGCGCTGCAAACGGGATAATTTTAACAAGATTTTTTTGACGATATTCAATAACAAGTTCGTTGAAAAAAATGCCAAATGACTTGTCTATTCATTTCAATTATCAATGAAATAGTTTCACATTTTGGTAATTTGCACAATTTATTCAAGTACTTAGGTTTTCGCGATTGTTACACATAGGAAATGAAACTATTTTTCCGGATTTAAATCGCGTATATTTGTTTTTTCAAACAAACCGACGTTTCGGGCCCTTTACAGGTCCCATGGTCACAGTTGACTGACCAGTCAGAAAGCCAGTGAAAAAACAAATATACGCGATTTAAATCCGGGAAAATAGTTTCATTTCCTAAATTTATTCAAGGTTCGCAGTCTTATAAAATGGAAGTATGACGTTATATATTTCTATATTAAATACATAATTGTGTTGTGTATACATATATATTTAAAGTATTATATGTATGTGTTATTTTATTATTAATATGTCTTGATGTTCAGGTATTATTTATCTTATTTTAATGTAAATGTAAATAGAAATTTATTATTTCTATTTTTGTTTTTATTCATAATATTATACGTCCATTTGTAATTATTTTAGTGGATAACTTTAATTGGCCTATCTAAAAAGTGTTAAACGTATGTTAAGGTTAGAATTGTATTAAGTATGGCGGTTCTTATCCCAAATAAAATAGAAATAGTTTATGTGGAAGGAAAGAGACTTCGCGGTCGATCGCTTAGCCGATGGAGTGACCAAGTGAGGGCGGTCACTGGCCTCCCTATAACAACTGCCCTGAGAGCGGCCGACGACAGAACCAGATGGAAAAAAATCGTCTATAAAATCTCGAAAACCACACGTGCTGTCTGATAGCGCAACTAACTAGACTATTTAAGTAATTTTAATTAGATTAATGGTAATGAGATCCTATTACCGTGTCCATAAATATTTGTGTCTTAATAACCCGAAAATTACTTTGTCTATTCTAATGCCATTTACACATATTGATAGTTTAGCTTAAAGTTTTCATATTTCAATGTTATTGGATATAATAACGTAAAACAATGGCTACGGTAATTAGGGTGAGAACACCGAACGTGAGTATGGCCGTGCTTCAGCGGGTGCTAACTCACCTGGAGGTCGATTTTTGTGAAGGACGAGTAATCAGCAAGCCCCACGGCCTCCCTGCAAACCCAGTACTCGCGTTGCACTGTATCGAACCAATGCGGCTTGCCGAACGTCTTCGTGTAAGCGATCTTGAATGGCAGATCTTGTGGTGCGCCTTTACTCTTATCTGTTGTGAACAAAACTGATTGTTTTAAATTTCAAATCCGAATTAAATTATTATTTTGTCATAATCACGGAAGAAAAAAAACAATGGAAGTGCGTTAAGCCTCGATTACTAGTAGAACCGCTGTCGTCAAAACTCACACTATGAAATCTTGATAATGATTGGTTGTAGTTTCTAATTTCAAACCAAATAACAAATTCTGGACTGTTAATATAATTTGAACTTTACCCTGTTGGCATATCGCACTATTGATTCTCAGTTGCTACAATAATGCTTCAGTTTTATGGTAATCTAAGGTTAAAAGCCAGTTATTAGTTTTAAATTTAGTTTCACGAGCAGATAACGGGTATACGTTTAATTACTCACTTCCCGTGAAAGATCCCCAAAATTTTGTTTTTTATTTATTTATTTGCATTCCATAATGTACATTACAGATGTTTGTTTTCCACACGTAAAATAGGCGCCTTGACGTCAAGTTGCGGACACTAGCCCGTTACACCAAGTAAGTACCAAGTACAGATGTTTTACATATATTGAGATCAAATTATGGACCCTGAACAGGGCACAGCAAATAGTAGAAGAGAGGACTAGTCTCATAATTGTTACACTTACTAATATATAATTTGATATATACCAACGCCAACAGCTTTATATTATTATATTTATTATCGACTAGTTACTAAATTCAGATACCAAATTTATCTTCTAAAAACTCTTTTACATTATAATAGCTTTTCTTTATGAGAAAATTCTTTAAGTTTTTAAAGAAAATCTTGTTATTTTGTTCATTTTTTATATTTTAGGATAGGTTATAGTTTATTACAGACAATTAAACAATTTTCTACTTGCCAAATATATTTAAAAATAAAATGGAATAAAATATTTCACATATTTTAATAAGGGCTATTTTGGAGTTAAATAGATAACTTTTAATTATTTCTTACAATATTCTAACGACGGTTTTATTGACGTGTAGAGAATCTTCTAAATTTCTCTACATCTAAATTTCACACATTTTGAGTTACAACACTATTGTAATAGCAGTGCGATATCGTCGAAAATTGAATACCTAACCAAGTTAAAAGATTTTATATTGAGATTTCAATCAATGTGCTGTTATCTAGCGGGCAATAGCTGAACGACGAAGAATACGAGATGTTTGTTTAGTTCTCCAAAAAATAAGCGACCATATTACAGCGGTATACGGTCTACTCATAGATATAGAAAAAAGGGGGAGATATGGTATGGGGGCGTGGGCGTGGTTCGTGTCGCCTCGATATGGTCAAAATGACCATATCGAGAACATCGCCACAGTGACATGGTGATCATTGTACATACAAGATCTCTGTCTGAAAATGCCAAGTTGTAGCGATACACCTTCTAAATATTGGAGTGAAAACAAAAATTTTAAAACCAGTGAGATAACATTCCACCGGCTATTTGAATTTTTAGTTACTATTTCTATTATTATTCAATGTTTTCTTTTTGCCTCCATAGAAATTTCTATACTCAAATATAGTGATGTTCATTTACGAAGATTGATGTTTATCGACAGTAAATTTTTACTGAAATGTTTGAATTTCTTACTATGATTTTTGTAATTAAAGTCCCTAAAATATCGAAGTGAAAAGCATTTACGTTAAATTGATTTCTTTTATTTTATTATTATTATTATTATTAATAAACATTTTATTTTGAGTAACTTTAACAGAACTCATATTTCGGACAACCGTTTCAATTTCATCTCAATTTGGATGTTGCTGTTGATTGAAGAAAAATTTATGTGTTTTAGATATTTAAATTCCATTATACTCGTAGATTAAACGTAGAGTATTTTTAATTTTTTCCAATTTCCAAAATAAAAGAAGGTTGGATTGAAGCTGCAGGAAAATCAAAAGATTGGTTTTCTTATTACTATTTCAGACTTTGTTTCAATTTCCATAGCAAATGCATTTAAAAAAGAAATAAAATAAAATCGGCTTTGTTTTGCATGCAAAATAAATTAGAAAGAATTATAAAAAAAATGAAAATTACATAAATCCTTCATAAAAACAGCATAATTTAATTTATTAAATTCGTTGGTGGTTCGAGTTTACTCTTGACAGTGACAGCTTCACCAACCAGTGGTAACGTATAATGGAAAACTGACACTGACGACGATCGCCATATTTTTTATATTATTCTTATAAAACTGACACTGGTCCAAGCCTAGTGGCCGCCATTAAGAAAATAATAATAATTTATATTAATATATTAATTTAATAATACACCAGTACCAGTGTAGATATAGTATCAAAAATTGAATATTTTTTTTAATATTAAAAACAGCCACATGGTTTCCAACTATCGATTAGGTAGGACCACATTATTCGTTGAGTAGCGTCAGTTTAAGGTTAATAAGGTTAACAATTCACGGAGCGGTTTCCATCCGCGCCCGCTGGTGCTGCTAGACAGCGGTTTTATTTCAATACTCACGACCCTGCAAGTTTGTGCTACGTGCCCGCGTAGCTGCCGCGGTTGCGGGCAAGAAACCGTTGCGATTGCGGAATGGACCGCGAAGTTAGTGGGAGTTAATTGCAAGTCACGCGGTTAATAGAGAACTCACCCTGCGTGCGCATGCACCACATTGCGCCTGAACCGACCGCCAAAGTGCGTGGGCGACGACGGCCGCCAAGCGCGCAGGTCATCGAGTCCTGCGCGGTTCTACCAGCACCCTGCCGCGGCAACAGCGAACAACCGTCACCACTACAGGCGTAAAACGCGCCGTGAAATGTGCTACTAATTTTACATACTTAACTGTTACATTCCACAGATGCCGCGGTCCCGTGGCAGACGCGGGTGAAAACCGCTCCGTGAATTCTTAGTGTAACGAAAAATGAGTTTCAGTGCCATCTAACGTGTAATAGTTAGCTATTATATACTAGTAGTATTTTTACTAAAACGCCACCTATGGGTGAACCAGGATGAAAAAAATACTGAAATATTGTAATATAACTCTTATTCAAATGACTAAGTTTAATTTTGTTAAGTTTTAAAATTGTTTTACGTCGTTTTCACGTTTCAAGCCTTACCCAATCAAAATCTTTAAGTTATGGTAGTAGAGCGTAAAGTTTGAATAGCACACAAGCTAAAAAGTGGCAACATCGGCACCCGATCTTACATAGCGTCATTACATATCTTCCCTTTTTTTTCTATATCTATGGGTCTACTTTCGTTTCTTGTAAAAAAAAAAATATTATAAAATTCATTAAAATTAAATAAGACTTAACGACATAGGAGATACCACCGTACATAATATTACAAGTGCGACATTTTTGCACCAAAGTAGCAAAATAAGGCATTTTTCTGCGATTTTCGAGGTTTTGTGCGAGATAAATGACCAGATCATACATAACATACAATGCGGAAACGGCGGACTGAGCTTAAGTATGTGGAACTTCGCGTACAGTTGGCACGCGTACAGTTGGCACGCGTACAGTTGGCACGCGTGCCATGCAAGCAAAGCACTACTACTGTATTTATTGTTCTGTGGTTATAACTATAACGCAGGTTATAAAGACGTTACAAGAATCCGCCTTACGGCATAGAAAGTTTCCTACTTTTTATGTATCCATCAGACACAAAAACTAAATAACGAGTTTATTATAATTTTATAAATACAAAGATCGAATACGAAGAAAAATTAATTCGATCCGTCTGGATTCGAACACATCGCCTACACTATACCGTGTCTAACGCTCTTCCAACTGAGCTACGGAACGAATCAGCAGACTTTATAACGAGCAAAGCCGAAATACGGTTACATTTAAATAAATAAAAACTCCATTACCGCCTTAGGGCGATAATGTTATGACCCGTGGGTGTAATTTAGCACATTACGGCCGACTTTGCCTGCATGTCATGATGTCAGGTTACTATCTACTCACCTTCCCTCTATTCCTATCCTAAAAAACGCACCGATTTGAGGGTAGGACATTCCCCGTTCTGACTTGTTCTGTTGCAACTACGCCGCGCTAGCGAACGGTCGCTTTTGACGTGATATCACCGTAGCAGTTGTCCAACGGCAATATGGAAAAATCATCTTTTCGAAAATCATCTTAGCATCTCATCTGTCTATGAAAGACCAGAGCAGGCGGCCCGACAACCCCCTAACACCTGGGTATACGCATTAACACCGGCGACCGACATATCTATCGAGGGAAAAACTCAAGGTCAGTCAGTGCGTTCACCCTAACCCATTTTGGCCCCGTCACATGATACTATACGAGCAAGTGTGATGAAAACGATCTACTTGTCGTAGTCGTTTTTAAACTGCATTATATTTCTACTCTATGGGGCTGATATTCGTACCAACGGTATCGAACCAGGCGGGCCTTTCGTACCCCATAACCTGGCCGAAGACAGCGCCGTTGTCGCGCAGCGTGGGGTAGATTGGTGACATGCGGAGGTTGCGGCCCGTCTCGAACTCGTAGTGCGGGTACGGGAGGCCGTAGTGAACTCCTAAGAAAAAAATATCATTACAATTGGCATTTGCCTGGTGCATACAATGAATATCGCACCCCTCATGGAAGAATACCTATAAAGAATAATAGAATAAGTGAAGTTACGTCATAAATGTCTATTTTGCTGCATTAGATACAGAAAAATATTTTATTATTTTATTTTATTTATTTTTTATAAAACGGTACACCAACAGCAAAACATATAACAATTTGCATCATAAAACATAACAAACAGTGGTATCAATATAAATATGCTTGCCAATTATAGGCATACACAACATTTGCCAAGAACTATCTAAACATTAACAATAAATTCCAAGTTAATAAATCCAAACGGGAGGCTTAAAAGAGCCTATGCGACATTTAAATAATGCAGAAGTTTCATTTTAAAAACATTTGGCAAATCATTGAAAACATCTATGAAAGGAGCCGTATGAGAAATTTCGATATAATCGCGGCATACCCTGGACAGGGGACAATGAAAACCTAAGTTAGTCCTGTGATTCGGAATATTGAATACTTTTCGTACTGGTTGTCTGGGTTAGTTATAATGTACAGCAAGATTAATCTTGTTGAGAAGATCGGAACACTTAGTCCTGTTATTTCTCTAATGTTGTATAGAAATAACAGGTCCATAACCCAACGTCTGTCGCGCAGTGATGACATCCTGAAAAAGTCCAGACTTTCATTGTACGGCTGCCTGTGACAAATGCTTGAGGACGTAAATGCCAGGTAACGAGTGAATGCACGTTGAATGGATTCTATCCGCTGTGAAGATGCGCTATAAGAAGGACTACACTGGCAGATTCTAGGTGACTAATATTGTCGATATTTTTCTAGGAGGATATTTTTTGATTAGTTACAAGAATTGGAGAAGATGTGGGTTATATTTTTAACCGATTTAAAAAAAAAAGTTTTTTTAATGTATGTTACACGATAACTTGTGAACTAGGTAATTTGTGAACCAATTTTGATGATTTCAAACTAACTAGAGAATGAATCCGGTTTCGTGCACTTTCCGATAACCGATTTCAATAAAACTTGGCAAGTAGATGTAATTCCAAGAACTTCTGAGGTCGATTTTATTTTAGTACTGAGATTATTCTGTATCCAATGGAGCAATAAACATTTTTGACGTAACTTCAGTTATGCCATTCTTCCATGACCCCTCATGCGGTATGTCTTACTGTTGGATACAGGTTTCCTCTATAAAGAGAGTTTAAGAGTTTAGGTCATAGTTTGTCACGCTGTAGTAGTGGTTGCAGTAGAACTACTTGTGAAAGTGTTCGTCGCGGGAAGTCCCTTACCTATTTCTATTATCAAGCAGTAATGTCTCAGCAATACTTCTGCTACCAATGATCTTGGGAATAATATTGTCTGGGTTCGAATCAATCTACATATTATATTTTGATGTAACACGGGGTCTATGAGGAGTAACTGGGACAAAGACTATAAAGGTTAACCAAACCTGGCACTTCTTTGATTCTGTCCCTCAAAAAGCGTTTGTTGTTGTGCAGTCCGAGGAAACGGTTTATGTGCAGTTCGTACACGTCGTGCTTCCCGAGGCCCTGGCGTATGATCTCGTCTACAGTGGCCTCGGCCACACCGCCCGCCGCCGAAATGCCTACAGTCTTCATCCCTGCCGCTACGTGGTAGTTGAATATCTGAAATCGAAATTAGAATGCCACTTTAGTGTTGACCCCGAAAATGCCGCTACGGATATAAAGATAAATAACACTAAATTTATTGCGACTAGTTTATTTAATGGAACTTTTTGGGTTACAATTGTTTCACGTGGAATTGAGTAAATGGAACTACCGAGAATAAACCCGTGCTAGGAATTTTTTTTAGTGTCGATCGAAGCAGTCTTATGTAAGTATCATTTCATTGTAAGTTCGAAAAAAAATCGGGACAGCAGAAGTTGGTCAAATTTCATAAAATGTTTTTCACACAAAATGAATAAAATTTACTTTCTATTTAATGTTGATAGGGTCAGCTGCTTATAACGATGATGTCATTGTATGGGACGAAAAAAATCGGGACAGCAGTAGTTGGTCAAATTTGACTCTTGACGTCTATAAGTAGCGATGTTTAAGAAAAACCTGAAATAGACGTCCGCCATGATCATATAAAAGACAAGTAGTGTAACTCTATACGTACAATAGCATCTTAGCTTGTAAGTCTTCACGCCGTGTACGGACTAGGGTTGTTACGAATATCAGAATCCGCGATGGTATATCGCATAAATTAAAATATCCGCATCAGCCTCCGCATTAATTGATGTGGATATTCACGTCGTGAGATTAATTTACAACCAGACAGAAACAGATTGCAAGCCCAAAAAATTAGCTCAGCTGTTGTTCTTAGCTTTGATAAAGCTTCAGTATGAACCAGATTGATACATTTTATGCAAGTTAATGTTTCTTTTATAACAAATTCGTTTTTCAATGAAGATCTGTATGTTTTACGATTTTTTTAAATAGATAAAATCTGCATCAACATCTTCTGATGTAATGCAAAAAATCATCCGCATTCGCTGATGTGTAAAAAACCTGCGTCAGTAACAACCCTGGTACGAACGCACACACTCGCATTATCTCGCGGTGTATTCGAGTTTACAGCCTCTCAAATTTAGAATAATTCAGCATTTAATTTCATAATCATACTCCCATAATCGAGACACCAATCCGCGATGCTGGTACAAAAAATACTCTGATGAACATATCATTTTTTTTTCTAATTATGTTTACGATTTGTAGGTTGTTACAACACCTAAAATGAAAATGTGACAACCATTTTCTCTAAATTACGAACTGTGCAGGCATCGAGTATATAACCAGAAATAAGAGACGAAATGTCATTTAATTTGTTTCAAAACTATTCTGCCACATCATAGCGTAGCCGGGTATTTAGTACCATTTGGTACACCAAAATGTCGCAACTAGGACCTAGCAGTTTTCGTAACTAATTTAATTTGTTTTACACGTCGAGTATATAACCAGAAATAGAGATGAAACGTCATTTGATTTAATTAAATTTTTATTGAATTGGTATTCAATTATTTTTTGTGAAATTACTCCACTAGTTTGTTATAATTATTAATACAAAGATCGAACACTCAGAAAAAACACTCAGAAAAAATTCCTTCGATCCGGTCGGATTCGAACCGACGTCTTCTTGCATACCGTGCCAGACGCTATACCAACTAAGCCACGGAACGAACCAACGGATCTCACGAATTTTTCTATGTGCTTGCGTCGTGTCTTTGTACTTGGTTTTTTCAACGACTTTTTAGTCTTCTTTGACAGATTTATCACCCAGTTAGTACCTTTACAGCTACCAGTCCTGGCGAGAGATGTCGCTATTCACTGTATTAACTAAATTTTTATTGAATTGATATTCAATTCAATAAAAATTTAATTCATTTCAATTTAATTCAATAAAAATTCCTTCGAATCCGACCGGATCGAAGGAATTTTTTCTGAGCGTCATTTGATTTGTTTGAAAACTATTCTGCCACATCATTACGGTGACAACTCCGCTCCGATTGGCCAGCCTGAATTTTGATATTACCGAAGCAATGCGATGACGTTTGTTTTATAATTAAACGTTTTGCTGTTTTTCCCACACCACCGAATGGCACAGCCCTCCCAATGTTAAGAGATATTATATATATTACAATTTATACAGAATATTTTTGGAACATTCGGAGACGTAAACACAGGTCAGTTGTTGGCGCTGTACTATAACATAACTGAAATCACAGTGCAAACGAGAATTGATGTTTATAAGTGATGTAAGGCCCATTTGCCTGATAAGTTGCCAGGGATAATTGGCCCTTATTTCTATTTCTGGTTGTATGCTCGATGTGTGCGGGCAACCGGTTTTAAAGCCAAAGCCCGGCCTGTACATCCTATCAGCCCTTTCGGCGTGACGTAGTAATTAGTTAGGGAGGAAGCGGGGCAATCAGAAGTACACTTAGTTACGTAAACAAATAACCTTCTAATATGTCTTTATTTTCACACCAAACACTTAAAGCAAGATTTACAGAGCAGCAAGTACATTGGATTTTAAATAAAAATTCTTCGCCTTCTCCATCTCTTCCGCGACTTGTTTCTTTGTTGCAAAGTTTCCACGAGACGTTCGATGACACGAATTTAGCATATTTTGACATAGCTAATGTTCGCGAGATCAAACGTAACGTGAAAACACTGTTTCTTCTTTCTTGATTCATAAATGACTTGTGCTGTTTCTATCTTAATACAAAGCAGGAATGCCGCAGATGTGGTTTATTCGTGAATGAGCGATACGCGATGTGAGTTTTTCATCGTTGGAAACTACAGATGCAGATGTGCGAAAAAAAATGTTTTTACAGTATAAATGTGGATCATTGTGGATTTGGTGCGCATTAAATTATAATTAATCGAAGTAAAAATATCGGCTAATTAGCACTAGTTCTCGGCACGCGCTTTGAGTAGGGCCTGCTCATCCACGGAAACTCTGCATCGATTGGTTCGGATGTCGGATGTGAAAGCAAATAAAAACACGGTGATGATCCGCGGTTGTGGATGCAGACGTCTGCGGCATCCCTAATACAAAGTTACATACCATACTTATCGACACAGCTGAATTAAGTTTTATGTCCATATAATAAGAGCGAAAAAGAATTGATAGGTTTATTGGATAAGTGTGGCGACTCCCATAATAAAGATCAACAGACAAATTAAGTGTTATTAGCGGAATTCAATGTTGAGTTTTAATGATTATCCCATTGACTTACAATTATACGGACGTCGGGTCCGCGCTAAAAAGTGCCCGAACTTATAGGGCGTTAAAATCGTATACAGAGCGTCATTCACGCT